TATTGACTGACCCCCTTGTTGTAGGGGGTCGGCGGTTTGAGGTGAGCGAGAACCGGGGGCGAAGTAACAAAGTGGAGTGGCCAACGACAGGGCGCCAGTAAGCTGAATACATACAAGGACAGCCGATAGGGTGCCGGTGGGTTGCATACAGCGACAGGCAATAGGGCGCCGGTGGGATGCATACAGGGACAGACGATAGGGCGCCGGTGGGTTGCATACAGGGACAGAAGATAGGGCGCCGATAGGTTGCATACAGGGACAGACGATAGGGTGCCGATAGGTTGGATACAGGGACAGACGATAGGGCGCCGATAGGTTTGATACAGGGACAGCCAATAGGGCGCCGGTGGGGTGCATACAGGGACAGAAGATAGGGCGCCGGTGGGTTGCATACAGGGACAGACGATAGGGTGCCGATAGGTTGGATACAGGGACAGACGATAGGGCGCCGATAGGTTTGATACAGGGACAGCCAATAGGGCGCCGGTGGGTTGCATACAGGGACAGCCAATAGGGCGCCGATAGGTTGGATACAGGGACAGCCAATAGGGCGCCGGTGGGTTGCATACAGGGACAGACGATAGGGCACCGATAGGTTGGATACAGGGACAGCCAATAGGGCGCCGGTGGGTTGCATACAGGGACAGACGATAGGGCGCCGATAGGTTGGATACAGGGACAGCCGATAGGGCGCCGGTGGGTTGGATACAGGGACAGACGATAGGGCGCCGATAGGTTGGATACAGAGACAGACGATAGGGCGCCGGTGGGTTGCATACAGGGACAGACGATAGGGCGCCGATGGGTTGGATACAGGGACAGACGATAGGGCTCAGACGATAGAGCACCGATAGGTTGCATAGAGGGACAGACGATAGGGCGCCGGTGGGTTGCATACAGGGACAGACGATAGGGTGCCGATAGGTTGGATACAGAGACAGACGATAGGGCGCCGGTGGGTTGCATACAGGGACAGACGATAGGGCGCCGATAGGTTGGATACAGGGACAGACGATAGGGCGCCGGTGGATTGCATACAGGGACAGACGATAGGGCACCGATAGGTTGCATACAGGGACAGACGATAGGGCGGCTATAGGTTGGATACAGAGACAGACGATAGGGCGCCGGTGGGTTGCATACAGGGACAGACGATAGGGCGCCGGTGGGTTGCATACAGGGACAGACGATAGGGCGCCGGTTTAACATGAGTACAGGGACGTAATATACACTTAAGTTTGGGGTGTGCTCTGTCGAAATGTAAACAACCAGAGCTTGTGTACGTGCCCCAGTAGTTGAGGTAATGTACACAACCTGGACTTGTGTACTCGCCCAAGTAGTTAAGAGAATAACACAACCAGGACCTGTGTACTCGCCCCAGTAGTTAAGAGAATGTACACAACCAGGACTTGTGTACTCGTTCAAGTAGTTGAGAGAATGTACACAACCAGGACTTTTGTCCTTGTCCAAGTAGTTAAGAGAATGTACAAAATCAGGACTTGTGTACGTGCCCCAGTAGTTAAGAGAATGTACACAACCAGCACTTGTGTCCTCGCCCCAGTAGTTAAGAGAATGTACACAACCAGGACCAATATCCATCATGTACCACAAACAAGGCTGGCATCAATATCAAGCATCCATCATGTATCACATGCAAGCATGACATCAACATCAAACATCCATCATGTGTCACATGCAAGGCTGACATCAACATCAAACATCCATTATGTATCACATGCGAGATTGACATCAAACATCCATCATGTGTCACATGCAAGGCTGACATCAACATCAAGCATCCATCATGTGTCACATGCAAGGCTGACATCAACATCAAACATCCATCATGTATCACATGCCAGATTGACATCAAACATCCATCATGTGTCACATGCAAGGCTGACATCAACATCAAATATCCATCATGTATCACATGCCAGATTGACATCAGTACTTCAGTCGTTCGTGTCCATCCACTGTTGAGTGTCAGTGTCAGCCTCAAATAGAGACAAGCAAGCTTGACATCAACATCAAGCATTCATCATGTGTCACAAACAAGGTTGACATCAACATCAAGCATCCGTCACGTATCACATGCCAGATTGACATCAACATCAAGCATCCATCATGTATCACATGCCAGATTGACATCAAACATCCATCATGTGTCACAAACAATGTTTACATCAATACCCATCATGTATCACAAACAAGGTTGACATCAACATCAAACTTCCATCATGTATCACATGCCAGATTGACATCAAACATCCATCATGTTTCACATGCAAGGCTGACATCAATATCAAACATCCATCATGTGTCACATGCCAGGTGGACATCAACATCAAACATCCATCATGTATCTTCACTTATTAAACCACTCATTGCACGTCTGCAGTGTTGGCCACTGAGGCTAAAATACTTGGAAAATTTCTGCGTTCTGTATAGCAATGGACACTCAGGCTAAAAAAACTCGAAACATCTCTAAGTACTGTGTCATGACTGGAACAGAGAGCTCTGTTCAAGGTGGGCACAAGCACTGATGGAACCACTTGCAAAAGAAAAAGGAAAAAAAATGAGGGGGAGGGGTATGAAAGGGGACCCGCCCCCCAACACCCCCCATCCCGGTCACGCAGTACTAACCCCTGCTACTGGCCTAGATGGAATAAGTATGTTCAGTTTTTAAAAAACTCAACCAAACAGCATTGGAAATCAGAAATATATTAGATGCCCTACCTAATTTTCTGTTTCGGTTTAATCCTGAAGTGTCAAAGTGTCCTCTTTTTATAGCCATTTTCATTGTTTCTATAGAATAGTAGTTACTATCCTAGTGTCTCATTTGTATTTACTTAGTTTACATGTTTTAATAATTGTAAAGCGCTTAGAGCTTTATGATAAGCCCTATATAAAAATGCCTAAATAAATAAATAAATAAATAAATAGGTTTTACAGTATTTGTTGACATAGTTTTATAGTATGTACATTATCATATAACAAAAAGGTTGAATGACATAAATGTCATTATATAACACTGGGGTCAAGAGAAGGATGAATAACACTTAAAATGAGACCGTCAGCACCTGATTCCAAAAGTTCTGGAGCATTCAAATAAAATGACAATGTTTAAGTTCAGTAAAAATAAAGCAGATAGAATGTCTCTCTATAGACGGCACATTCAATACATGGCAATCTTTGCAAGGAAGGCAATGTCCCATTTTAATGCAAGACATATCTTATGACAGGAGTGTATTACAGACAAAAAAGATGGCCGCCACACAAAAGCAAGTTTTAACAATTACCTTTCCCAAATATTTTCAACTCTTACCATACTGGTTTGTAGAAAAGTCAATATTCACTTTTTATCAATTGTATAAGAATGTAAAAAAATGACACTACCAGGTACTAACTATAGTCTTAAAGCATAATGGCATTATGCAATGAACAGCCTTCCCCCCACAGTAAAAGTTGATCTGATTTTGTGAAGAGACAGAAAAAGAACAAATATTGCCAATATTTGATAGCAAGAAGTAAATCAAAATAGGACTTTAGAGAGAAGAAAAGGGAGTTAGTTCCGAGCAAAGGCGAATAAAGGCCGCACTTTTTTGTATAATGTAGGTTTAAACTCGGGTTGGGGGGGTGGGGGGGGGGAGGGGCAGACTACAATTAGTATGTTGCAAAAAATATAAAAATGTGAATTTCAGATCTTTTGAGGGTAACGATTCTCATTCGTTTGACTGTATCACTACTCTTGATTGGTCCCACTATTTCACTATTTGTATCAGCGAAAGAACCATTTGTGAAATAAAAATGAGTTTTTTTATATTTATTTTACATTAAAATTTGGCTTTACTTGTGTACACATTTTTCTCCAGGAGCTCACTTGACTTGTCCCCCCCCCCCCCCGCTGCCTAAAAGAAACACTGCTGGTTTGGTATTTAAATGGAGAGTTCACAACAACAAATTCTTGTCATACTAATACAAAAATTTACAGCTGAAAGATTGTGAGAAAACATTTAACTACTGGTGTTCAATAAAACTATAGATGACAATGACAACTTCAATCATATCTCAATCAGTTTTGAAACATCTCAGCAAATCAAATGATCAAATCCAACGACTGTCGAAACATGTAATTTGAGTCGACCTAAAGCTAGTTTTGATCTTTCAAACTGAACAATTCAACGGTAGAAGGAAACAAGAGAAACAAAGGAGATGAAAACCTGACCAAAAAGACGCCACAAACAACGAACATGACAGCAAGAAACCTTCTTCAGGGACCAGAGGATCATGAATGAAGGACTGCATTCAAGCTGTGTGAAGGAAATAGTTGATCAAGGTATGTGGAAGCTTAAAATGGAAAGACAGGACAAAAGAAGAAATAATAAGAAATAGTTGAACAAGGTATGTGGAAGCTTGAAATGGAAAGACAGGACAAAAGAAGAAACAATAAGAAATAGAAAAAAGTTCAAAAAACAATAAATCCATTTATTTTTATTTTTTATTATTTCTATTTGTGTCCTTTCCCATTATTGATTTTATTACCAGTAGAAATTCAAAATTCAACATGGAGGGATTTTTTATCACCCCCCCCCACCCCCTCAAGTTGCATTAATTACCCAGTGGTACAAGTCATTTATTCTGTCATAACTCAATAGTCAGTAGTATACATCATTTATTCTGTCACACCTCAATACACAGTAGTATACATCATTTATTCTGTCACACCTCAATACACAGTAGTATACATAATTTATTCTGTCACACCTCAATACACAGTAGTATACATCATTTATTCTGTCACACCTCAATACACAGTAGTATACATCATTTATTCTGTCACACCTCAATACACAGTAGTATACATCATTTATTCTGTCACACCTCAATACACAGTAGTATACATCATTTATTCTGTCACACCTCAATACACAGTAGTATACATCATTTATTCTGTCACACCTCAATACACAGTAGCATATATCATTTATTCTGTCACACCTCAATACACAGTAGTATACATCATTTATTCTGTCACACCTCAATACACAGTAGAATACATTATTTATTCTGCCACACCTCAATACACAGTAGTATACATCATTTATTCTGTCACACCTCAATACACAGTAGCATATATCATTTATTCTGTCACACCTCAATACACAGTAGTATACATCATTTATTCTGTCACACCTCAATACACAGTAGCATATATCATTTATTCTGTCACACCTCAATACACAGTAGTATACATTATTTATTCTGCCACACCTCAATACACAGTGGTATATATATATATTAACATCAATTATTTGTTTACTTAAACCCAACAATTAAATAAAAAGTTAAAAGTGACTAAAATTAGAATTTCTTTTTTTTTGTAACCTCAATTCTGTAATGGCAACCTGCTATGTCAGTGATTTTTATATTATAATAGATATCTGTTGCATACGTTTACTTGATGGCAGCCAGCACATCTGCTCGTCTATCAGTGTTTTGGAACAAGGCACGGATCAAATTTTTCAGTTCAATGGCCTTGAGCGACGCGGCCAGCGGGCCTTTGCCTTCTGCCCAGCGGTCAGAGATGGCCGACAAGGAAGAATCAACAACAAGTTTAATTTCTGTGAGTCTCTGCCAGGACTTGACGTGCCTAGTCAGTTCAACGCTGGCCACCTCCCCAGGGGAGGTCAGACACTCGCCACAGTTGGTCTCTATAGTAGAGAGGATGGAGATCAGCTGGGTGGAGGCACCCTGAGAAATGTCCTCGAGGGACAAGATGGAGTCTGTGACAATCTGGACAACGTGCTGGATCAGCATGCCTGGAAGGCAAAAGGGGGGTGCATGGGAGATTTTATTTTAGACAGCTTTAAAATAATACACCTCAATCAACTTAATATTACTCATATTGGGAAAGGACATACACAAATTATAATAAGACATGATGATGCAGACAGACATGACATGCAGGTCTTATAAAATTATAACTGGTTGGGATGGGGCAGACATGAGGTGTAGATCATATAATATGAAAAAACTGGTCATGATGGGACAGGAATAAAGAGGTCTTACAAAAGGAAGTCAGGAGAAGACATGATATACAGACCCAGGATATGAAGGTCTTAAAAAATAATTTCTGTATATTACAGCATATATTGCGAGAAATTTAGGTTTAAAATATCTCCCATCAGAGTAGGAGTTCGCATAATATGCACGTGCAAGCAATTTTTCATAAACTAAATATACTAATGCCTATGTACTTATCTTCTTGACCCACTTGAATTTCCTGCGCATTACAGCACTAATGTAAAACCAGTAATGTAAATAGCACTCTTTTGAAAGGATGTAGGATAGTTTTATCAATATGACCACAGTTCATTTTAATATTAAAATAATTTAAAGGATTCTGACATTTTTATTTTATTTCATTAATTTGTATTGTATTATTAATAATGTTATGGAACAAGATAAACAGATCGAAATCATCAGACCTGTGCAATCTAAATGCAAAGAGTTGTGTCAGAAAATCTACTTGTAAGAGTTAAATTTAAGCAGAAAATAAGCATAATACACAAAGACCGAAATCAAAGGTAAAAATGATATGATAACCAAAAACTTACCAAAGACCCACTAACTGCAAAAGCTTACCAAAATAAAGTAGAAGCACAACTAGTAGCATCACAGGGGGAAATTAACAGGGAAAATAATATAAACGAACAGTGCGATAGGATAAAAAATGCCATGAAAAGATCAGCAGAAAAAGTAATAGGACTTCAGCAAACAGTAGAGTAGGCTGGTTTAATAATGAATGCAGAGAGACGGTGGAAGAAAAGAGCAAAACACAAATGACCATGATACAAAGGGAACCCAGAAAGATGAGACAAACATACAATGAAACCACAAGGAAAGACATGAAAATGTGTAAAAAGAAAAAAGGGGATGGGAAAAAGCTAAACTAAAAGAAATATAAGACTTATCGAGAGAGGGAAACAGAGGAATGTTTATGAAGATAAAAGACACAAGTAAAGGATACCAAGCCAGACCTCAACTGTATGTGGACTATGACAGCATCAAAAGAAAATCAATATGAGACTCTGCAGGAGGACTGATACATATCAATATGAGACTCTGCAGGAGGACTGATACATATCAATATGAGACTCTGCAGGAGTTTGGTACACCCAACAAACTTGACAAGACTGATACATATCATTATGAGACTCTGCAGGAGGACTGATACATATCAATATGAGACTCTGCCGGAGGACTGATACATATCAATATGAGACTCTGCAGGAGTTTGGTACACCCAACAAACTTGACAAGACTGATACATATCATTATGAGACTCTGCAGGAGGACTGATACATATCAATATGAGACTCCGCAGGAGGACTGATACATATCAATATGAGACTCTGCAGGAGTTTGGTACACCCAACAAACTTGACAAGACTGATACATATCATTATGAGACTCTGCAGGAGGAATGATACATATCAATATGAGACTCTGCAGGAGGACTGATACATATCAATATGAGACTCTGCAGGAGGAATGATACATATCAATATGAGACTCTGCAGGAGGACTGATACATATCATTATGAGACTCTGCAGGAGGAATGATACATATCAATATGAGACTCTGCAGGAGGACTGATACATATCAATATGAGACTCTGCAGGAGGAATGATACATATCAATATGAGACTCTGCAGGAGGACTGATACATATCAATATGAGACTCTGCAGGAGGACTGATACATATCAATATGAGACTCTGCAGGAGGACTGATACATATCAATATGAGACTCTGCAGGAGGAATGATACATATCAATATGAGACTCTGCAGGAGTTTGCATGCAACCCAACAAACTTGGCAAGAATGATACATATTACATTAAAAACTCAAAAGCGAAATCAAGGTTCAGGGTGAATATTAGGGAATTTCAGATAAGAGGCCTGAAAATGGGAGACTTATTGTCTTGTATGCTATTTAATCTAACATTAGAAGGGTTCTAAGAAACATACATATTGACACCTGAGGAACAATAACTGGATATTTTCTGAGGGAAACCCAAGACCCACAACCAATAGGCAGTCTCTACAACCAACCCCTTCAGTATCTTGAGTATGCTGATGACATAGCACTGCTAGGGAAAAGTAGTAAAGATGTATCAAAAGCTTTTATTGAATTAGAAGACGCATCAATGTAAGCAAGGGCGTGTAAGCAAGGGCGGAAGTTAACAACCAAAAAGTAAAATCTATGACTAAGAGAAGAACAGACGGATGAAACCATTAGAATTAGAAACCACTATTTTAACAAATATAATCAATTCAAACCTTGGCTCCTTAATAACTGAAAGTTGTAAATTACAAACAGAAATATCTAAAAAATATCTGCCAGAAACAAGGAATACTTGAGCAGTCCCAAAATACTCAAAAGTAAAAAAAAACCATAAAATTATAAATCAAATGGTAACCAGACCAGTTGTAACATACGTAAGAGAAACTTGGACCCTAACAAAAACAGCAGAAAACCTATTAAACACATGGGAGAGAACAGGTCTCCAGAAAATATATGGGCCAACAAAGAATGACTATGGATGGAGAATATGAAACAAAGATGAACTGAAGTCTATGTCAGGATGCCACGCTAGTGGTCGGCTACGCTGGGCAGGACACTTAGAGAGAATGCTACATGACAGAGGAGTCAAGAGAGTGCATCACCAAAGCCACAGTCAGGATGCCACGCTAGTGGTCGGCTACGCTGGGCAGGACACTTGGAGAGAATGCTACATGACAGAGGAGTCAAGAGAGTGCATCACCAAAGCCACAGTCAGGATGCCACCCTAGTGGTAGGCTACGCTGGGCAGGACACTTAGAGAGAATGCTACATGACAGAGGAGTCAAGAGAGTGCATCACCAAAGCCACAGTCAGGATGCCACGCTAGTGGTAGGCTACGCTGGGCAGGACACTTAGAGAGAATGCTAAATGACAGAGGAGTCAAGAGAGTGCATCACCAAAGCCACAGAGGATAACGGCTCAAAGGCAGACCTAGGCTTAGATGGATCGATGATATGGAACAAATCAGCAACTGGGAATCCAAGCATGGAAAAGAAAAGCACCACTTAGGTCTGAGTGGAAGGAAGTAGTGAGGCAGACCAAAGCCCTTCATGAGCTGTAGCAACACAGGGATGGGTAGATGGATGGTATGAGTGCAAGGAAGTGGTGAGGCAGGCCAAAGCCCTTCATAGGCAGGCCAAAGCCCTACATGGGCTGTAGTGCCACAGGTCTGAGTGAAAGGAAGTGGTGAGGCAGGCCAAAGCCCTACTACATGGGCTGTAGTGCTACAGGTCTGAGTGAAAGGAAGTGGTGAGGCAGGCCAAAGATCTTCATGTGCTATAGTGCCACAGGTCTGAGTGAAAGGAAGTGGTGAGGCAGACCAAAGCCCTACATGGGCTGTAGCACCACAGGGATGGATGGATGTGTCAGAAAATCCCCACCACTCCTTATATTACTATTATTGGAAAAACCAAATGCATTAACAATAAAAGTTATTTTAATACAAATGTTTACACAAATTTATATCCGCGATTAAGTCCTCAGTTTGATTTCTTTAAGGATGAGAAATGGTCAAAGGCAAGCTCAAAAGGCACTGACTGCACAAAGGTAAGTTCAAAAGGCACTGACTGCACAAAGGCAAACTCAAAAGGCACTGACTGCACAAAGGCAAACTCAAAAGGCACTGACTGCACAAAGGCAAACTCAAAAGGCACTGACTGCACAGACTTGGTTGGGTATTAGGCAAGGTTGAGCTTGTTGTGGTCAATGTGGGTCAAGCTCAGTGCTCTCTCAATAGCATTTACTGGTCTGGATTTCAATAGAGGAAACTAGAGGAGTTTGTTATTGTTCTGCCATTGTCTTGATCAGTGCTCTTGTTTTGTAGAGGGCATTGCACATCTCTCAAATATTCACACACAGTATAATAAATAATATAAGACACTAAAAGTATATTTTAAATAATATAAGACACTAAAAGTATATTTTAAAACAATCTAAACTGAGCCAATCTCAACCTCATGCTCTAAAGGTCAATCCCCACCTAAGTCAAGTCAAGCACAAACACCAGCACCCCGGGTGGATGGGACCCGTTAAACTTGGATGGCAACTCGTCTAAGAGAAGGAAAACTCTGAATTCAAACTCAGAGATGGTGGCTACCACTGACACAATGAATCATTTAAAAAATCTATCAATGAATTTAAAAGGAAAACAAAATGTTCAGTGTTGAATCTAGCAAGGACCAGCATCAAGGAAACATGGAGAGTGCAGGCCTCATCCACGTTGAAGCTAGCAAGGACTAGCATCAAGGAAACATGGAGAGTGCAGGCCTCATCCACGTTGAAGCTAGCAAGGTGATCGTAGTTCCTTTCATGGAGAGTGCAGGCATCATCCACGTTGAAGCTAGCAAGGACTAGCATCAAGGAAACATGGAGAGTGCAGGCCTCATCCAGGACCAGCATCAAGGAAACATGGAGAGTGCAGGCCTCATCCACGTTGAAGCTAGCCAGGACCAGCATCAAGGAAACATGGAGAGTGCAGGCCTCATCCAGGACCAGCATCAAGGAAACATGGAGAGTGCAGGCCTCATCCACATTGAAGCTAGCCAGGACCAGCATCAAGGAAACATGGAGAGTGCAGGCGTCATCCAACTTGGAAATCTATAGTTAAAACTAGCCAGGACTAGCTATAGCCTACAGGTCCAGCGCTATCAAGAAACCATGCAGAGTGCAGGCCTGATCAAACTTAGAAATCTATATTTGAAGTGGATATTCAAGGAAGAATTGTGTTTAGCTGTGTTATTAAAGGAAAAACTATATGAACTATAAACCTACAGAGTAAGGTAACAATATAACATGAAGATTACAATCCAGCCCACACACAAACTACCGGACCATGCTCTAGTAATGTTTCAAACCAGCATCAATTATAATCTACATTTACAAGCATGTAATAAAGCACTAAGTATGTACATTATAATCTACATTTACATGCTGGTAATAAAGCACTATCTACATTCACATGCATGAAATCAAGTACGAAGTATGTAAATTATAATCTACATTTACATGTTGGTAATAAAGCACTAAGTGTATAAATTATAATCTACAATTAAATGCTGGTAATAAACTAAGTATATAAATTATAATCTACAATTATATGCTGGTAATAAAACACTAAGTGTTATTGAAAGATAATCTGGTTATTTCATACGCAGTAGATAGAAAGTTAATAAAATACAAATATTTTTTCTATTAAATAATACTGTATGCTCTCTTGTCAGGGACAACCATTCACAGTCACGTGTTATGTAAGACTAAAGGCCCACACAAATAGACAGGCCCGCATTTTCTCAGAGTTTCAGGCATAGTTTTGAAGGCAGTATGCGAACAAGAGTTAATTGATAAGCTATGTGCAAAAGTTGAAAGTTCAATAAAATTATTCCCTAAAAGTCAGAATTTATCACCACGCTCCCCCAGCAGTTACCAAATCTATATGATCACGAATTAAGTCTTTGTCACTAAGAGAGATTAATAAGACACGAACAAATTGTGTCAATAGAACAATATGAGTTAGCTTTAATAATAAACAAACAAAACACATTTAAATAAGTATAAATTAAATTTACATAATATCAATATACATATCCTACCTAAAACAGAAAAAATATAGGGGAGGGCGCTAAAACCAGACAAAAACAAAGTCAAGAGAAGTAGAAAGCCTTTACTTTGTTTGTACTGATGAAGGCATGTGCCGAAACGTTTAATTGTGTATAATGTATAATTATTATTAAAGCTAACTCATATTGTTCTATTGACACAATTTGTTCGTGTCTTATTAATCTATTTTAAAGCTTTATTGCAGTACAACACTTTTTATCATTGTCACTAAGAGCGTTAAGTTTTATGGTATAAGATGGCTGATTTTTACGTTAGAGAGATACTTTTGATGTCTTAAATTGTCTCATTGTAAAAGGATGTCTTGGTTAAAGTATATGTTTATTTATGTTCTGAAATTGAATATGGACAAATACAATGGAATCAAACAAGTCTTTCCTTATCATTGGATCAATACAAGAATCTTGTCTTATCTTAACAACGGGAGAGTTCTTCTCCTTCATTTTTTGTCACTACTTTGATTGTCATCAGTTTCCTGTTTTATTTTTCACGCGGCATTGAAAAAATTTGCACCACCCCAGAGACAATTTAAACAAAAATGACTGTATAGAACTGGGGTGTGGAGGGGGGCGCTCCACTCTTTTTCCCTTTTTTTTCAGGTAGGGGTGGCATTTTTGGCAAACTGCTGAGTTTTATTGTTTGTGGCAGCGGAACGGCGGGGGGGGGGGGCAGGGCGCAAAATCCTACTAGCACAGTGGTTCTTAACCTGGGTTCGATCAAACCCCAGGGGTTCGGTGAGTCTGTCTAAGGGGTTCGGCGAGTCTGTCTAAGGGGTTCGGCAGAGGTCCAAACAAAAATCAGAAAAAAAAAAAAAAATTATTTTTCCAATAAAGAAGGGCTAGGTGAATGCGCATATCAAACTGGTGGGGTCGGTACCTCCAAAAAGGTTAAGAACCACTGTACTAGCATATGCTTATCATTCTAGCACTAGCCCTGGCTGAACCACTGAGTAAACATCTATATGATCTTACAACAAACATGAAACTGCAGCAGTGGGTAAATGAAATGTGGTATTATTATTAAGTATAAACCATTAATGCTTCCTCTAAAAGAAAAGGATTCTTGAGATATCAAAATGGCAAAGGCCAAGCGCTGTTGTTCTTATTCGTTTGCTTACGGTGTGACCACATAAAATACTGTAACTTCTTTCGGAACCACCCCGATTTTTCCAAATCTTTTTCTAAATACAAATTTATGTTGTTTATTTAACATAAAAAGACTTCAGAAACCGTAGTTTTTTTTAAGCTCGTTGTAGTGCCTTACTCTTAGGCTTCAAATCCTAATTACTACGGCCAAATCTTAGTGATAACAGGTCTGCATTATACACGAACAAGGCATTTGCGGGACTTTTTCCAAACAAAAACTTAGGTTTCACTTTTTAAATAGATCACATTATATGCGGTGATATACAGTAGAAGTTTTTACCCATGTTACCAGGGTAACAGTGGTAAGAAAAAAAAAGAAATTTCAGTGCATCATTCAGTAAATGACATCAAGTCATCAAGATGGACAAGAATGGAAACTTAATCCATTTTAGAAATAAAATAATTTCATGCAACAGACATGAGACAACTGGTCTACCCTTTCCTTGACTGGTGGCCCACCCCAAACTTCATTAGCCAACATTACCTGTAGCCTTCTTGTAGATGTTGATTGGTAAAACTGGCTTCCAAATTTTTTGCAGATGCTTAAGCTGGAAAATGACCTGATCCACAGACTTCTTGGCCTTGTCCCAGTTGTCACTGTCCTCCAGCTTGGTGAATCCTGCAGGGTGAAACAGTAAATTGATGTTTAGTGAAGTGGTTCATTTTAAACATACATTTTAACTAAGGACGTAACAGTTCATCAGTAGGTATAACTGAAAGAGAATTCAAGTGGGCACATTTATAATGATTTAAATAATGTAATTCCCATGTATATATTTCTGCAACTACCATAATCAGTTGCGACCCTTTCAAATTCTAAAAACTTTAACAACTTTTACACACATCATTTTTGAAGGGTATCTGTCTAGTATTATCTTATCTATCCATTATCAAACAAGACCCTCAGAGATTTTTAAATAGGGTAAATTACCAATGAGGCATGAATTATCAGAAGAACATTATGAATGACCAGGTCAATTTCTGCTGGCACATCCAAAATCTTTTAGTGGTCAAATGTAACCGGGTTATGTTTCCCAAGAATGGTGATTAAACCCAATCTGTGGACATGTAAAGTTATTGCCCTTGTTATTCCCAGACAAGAAGCTGTGTTAATTTCAAGACTAAAGATTTCCTAACGCAGAAACTATAAATTTTGCCTGATTAATTTTCTTACAAAAGGCAGTTGATCTCAACAACAAATCTGTAGACACATAAAGGCAGTTGATCTCAACCACAAAACTGTAGACACATAAAGGCAGTTGATCTCAAATACAAAACTGTAGACACATAAAGGCAGTTGATCTCAACAACAAATCTGTAGACACATAAAGGCAGTTGATCTCAACAACAAAACTGTAGACACATAAAGGCAGTTGATCTCAACCGCAAAACTGTAGACACATAAAGGCAGTTGATCTCAACAACAAATCTGTAGACACATAAAGGCAGTTGATCTCAACCACAAAACTGTAGACACATAAAGGCAGTTGATCTCAACAACAAAACTGTAGACACATAAAGGCAGTTGATCTCAACAACAAATCTGTAGACACATAAAGGCAGTTGATCTCAACCACAAAACTGTAGACACATAAAGGCAGTTGATCTCAACAACAAATCTGTAGACACATAAAGGGAGTTGATCTCAACAACAAAACTGTAGACACATAAAGGCAGTTGATCTCAACCACAAAACTGTAGACACATAAAGGCAGTTGATCTCAACAACAAATCTGTAGACACACAAAGGGAGTTGATCTCAACAACAAAACTGTAGAAACATAAAGGCAGTTGATCTCAACAACAAATCTGTAGACACATAAAGGCAGTTGATCTCAACCACAAAACTGTAGACACATAAAGGGAGTTGATCTCAACCACAAATCTGTAGACACATAAAAGCAGTTGATCTCAACCACAAAACTGTAGACACATAAAGGCAGTTGATCTCAACAACAAATCTGTAGACACATAAAGGCAGTTGATCTCAACAACAAAACTGTAGACACATAAAGGCAGTTGATCTCAACCACAAAACTGTAGACACATAAAGGCAGTTGATCTCAACAACAAATCTGTAGACACATAAAGGGAGTTGATCTCAACAACAAAACTGTAGACACATAAAGGCAGTTGATCTCAACAACAAAACTGCAGACACCTAAACAGTTTATAATAAATGCCTTACCATCTGCACCATTTAAATATTCCAGCAGCAGCTTCTCTTGCCTGATGACCTGGCTCCTAAATATTTCCACTCCACTGGACCTCAACTGGTCGACCAGGTCTAAGAAGGTGGATGTAAAGGTGCCTGGTAGTTTTGGTGCAAACTGGTGACCCATGGTCTCCAGGTGGTGGGCTATGTACATACAGTTGTTCAAGTGGACGGCTGTAAAATAACGGTCAGTAGATATTAGCTGTGTCATTAGTCGGCACCCGGGGTTAAATTTTGTTGCACTGCACTTCAAATCGGCAAAGAGAATTCAACAACATTGCCCCATCTCTACTCAACAGCCTGGGTTAGATAACGAGTGAACACCAGCACAGTGTTCACACCAGCACAGTGTTCACACCAGCACAGTGTTCTCACCAGCACAGTGTTCTCACCAGCACAGTGTTCTCACCAGCACAGTGTTCACACCAGCACAGTGTTCTCACCAGCACAGTGTTCTCACCAGCACAGTGTTCACACCAGCACAGTGTTCTCACCAGCACAGTGTTCTCACCAGCACAGTGTTCACACCAGCACAGTGTTCACACCAGCACAGTGTTCACACCAGCACAGTGTTCACACCAGCACAGTGTTCACACCAGCACAGTGTTCACACCAGCACAGTGTTCACACCAGCACAGTGTTCACACCAGCACAGTGTTCACACCAGCACAGTGTTCACACCAGCACAGTGTTCACACCAGCACAGTGTTCACACCAGCACAGTGTTCACACCAGCACTGTTCATCTCAACTTTTCAGAACTTGCTAAAAATACAAATCCCTGTTTAAAAAACCTCAAAGTATAAATCAGGGAATGGCTTACCAGAAAACTGCGGCACTGTCTCCAGTCTGTGGATGTGGTGGGTGGACACCACATCCAGGAACATTTCAAACATGCTTTTCACGGCAAAGAACATCTGCACAGCACACTCGGGGACACACTCTGGGTTTCCAGTTGCTTCACTCAACGTCTCATAGGCCAGCTTCATCAAGGCTTCAGTGCTCTGGCTGGGGGTCATCAGAAATAAACAAAGTAAAGGTGGGCAATTACATTTGAATTGTACAGGTAGTGCTATACATTTTGGCTTGTACAGGTAGTGGTATACATTTTGGCTTGTACAGGTAGTGCTATACATTTTGGCTTGTACAGGTAGTGCTATAAATTTTGGCTTGTACGGTTAGTGCTTTACATTTTGGCTTGTACAGGTAGAGCTATACATTTTGGCTTGAAAAGGTAGAGCGATACATTTTGGCTTGTACAGGTAGTGCTATACATTTTGGCTTTTACAGTAGAGCTATACCTTTTGGGTTGTGCTGGAAAGGGGCTAGATTTTGAGTTGTACATTTAGGGCTGAGCATTTTGAGCTATAAGAGAGCGCTAAAAATTTCATGTTGTACACAGCAGATTTGATAATGCATTATCAGGTTCTGTCTAGACTTTTACCAGCAATAAATAACTATCCTTGCAAGGTGGTAGTGTCTAAACTGAAAAATTGCTTTCCCATGACTTCAAGTCACATGGGCACATTCTCACTAAATAGGCTAGAGAAACTATAGTGCCATGTATCCATTTTTTAAACTTCTGTACTAACCATTACACTAGTTATTACTATTATTCCTGAGCATACAATTATATTTGAAGAAGGATTTGAACAGTAAACATCTTATCACAACTAATTCTCTAGAGCAGGGATCTCCAAACTTTTCAGCCCGAGGGCCGCATTAATTATCAAACAGCAGTTCGGGGGCTGACTACACACTCGAGGTCCAAATAAAAAAGAACCAAGACATGGATGTTGTTTTTTAATTATTTATGTAATATTATTTCATTCAGTTATTATTTAATAACACATTGATACACTACACATGAACACCTGTATTAGTGGGAATGGTGAAATTGTTTCCAGGATGCCAAAATAGCAGGTGTTTCTGGCTTAAGATTTGATGTCCCTAACATCAACAGTGACCTGAGGTTGTTCTCAAATTGTTCTTCACGTATTTCATTCTTGAAAATGTTTGTTCACACAGGTATGTTGTACCACAGATTGAAAGGTACCTTGATGCCAAAGTTTTGACATTAGGAAAGTCTTCCTTGGGCAAGAACTGGTAAAAACCCACCAGTACTTCTTTGAACTTGTCCCTAAGGTCATTTTCTTGCAACTCAATGACCTCCAGCTGCAGTTCATCGGAGCAACTGGCCACATCTGCTTCAAATGGGTTTTGAAACAGTCTCACTTCTTCTGCCTTTAAATCCAAGTCAGAAAACCGCTGCTAAAACTGCAGCTGGAGGTTTTTGATGATCTTGCATACAAATGATGTGGGGAACTCCGCCTTTGCTTCAGCCATGAAGACCGTCCACTGCTGAAAGTGTGTCAAGTTGAAGGCCTGTACTTTTTCAAAAACAAGACGAGTTTGGATCTGATGGCCTTTAGGTGGGTGTATAGATCAGAAACTAGATTTTCCTCTCCTTGAAGTTTTAGCTTCAGAAAATTTAAATGACTAATTATGTCTGCAGCAAAGGCCAATTTCCAAGCCCACTCTTTATCAGACACCAATGGCTGTGGCTTGCCTTTACTTTCCAGGAAGTCACCTATTTCCTTTCTTAACTTAAATACTCTGCTCCGAACTTTCTCACAAATTAGCCATCTTACTGTTGTATAATATGGTAAATCTAGCGATTCTGTGTTTGTATATTTCAACAGGATCCGAACTGTCTATGCTTGAGCCCATGTGACCTTATTAAATTAACCCTCTTCACCACAGGATTCAGTTCACTGCTAATGTCCACATATTTAGCATGCAAAGCTTGCTGGTGATAATACAGTGCAGGAACATTGGTTGTAGAATGTTTTCTCTTTACACATCTGCTTCACTCGTCCAACCAAGCCTTTCTTTATGCCAATCATGTTCTTTCCTCTATCAACAGTCAGGCAATGGAGGTTAGTCCAGTCCAAGTTATCACAAACGGTTTTTTCAACTCATTGAATATATCCTCTCCGGTAGCAGTGCCGTACATGCTATGTAGGGAGGCCTAGATGGCATTATATTATCTCATTCACTGTGAACGGAAGTAGAAAAACCATGCAGCCAATAATATTTGGCAATGGAGTGATCGGTTGGAAAACATAACGCACTACTGCGGGCCTCTATTTTAATTCGGTAAAAACATAACGTCCACGTAAGCAGTGGCTGATCTTGGCAGGATACATGGAAATTTCCGTAATTTTTTTCCGTAGACAAAAAGGTCTCCACGAGTTGGATAAGAGGGTAGTTTGGAGACCCCTGCTCTAGAGGTATGTATGTATGGTGCAATGCCGAGTCTAATTGCATGCAAATTAACATTCCTGATAACTGCGCTCAATGAGATTCTTAAAAATACAGCAAGTGCGTTTGATGCATAATGTTTTGTTTTTTATTAATGGATATAGACTATTCAAATATGAGGTAATAAATCTGCAGTGTTAAAGGCAGTGAACATTAAAATAGATCAGGGCTGTGAAAAAAGTGTGTGGTGGCATACCTGGTGGAGGTTAGCACTACTTGGGAGTCTTATAAACTGCGTTACTTGAACGCATGTTTTGTCAAGTCAGTTTAGCATAAGGGAACATTTGCAAATTACGACCTTTATAGACACCCTTCCCCCGTCACAAAGTGTCACAAATTCTTTAGCCCTCCCCACCCCCTTGGTGTCACGTCACACCTAAAAAAAATCAAAATACAAAAAAAATTTCATAACTAAACTAAGATTTTATTTTATTCTTTAACATTTGCCCTTAATGGATTAACTGGTTAACCACCATGAGCCATTGGGACCGGCTCAGCCTTTCTTCCGTTATGGCCACGAGCCCTTGTAGCGCCAATGTTTCTATCATAGTAAAGCGAGTCAAATATCTATATTATTCCACTCCCATTTTGCTTCGGGATTTTAATTTACTGGCAGGATGTTTATATTCGAACCGCATCCTATCAGCAAAATGTGTTAAAAAACTAGCTGTTATTTTTATTTACTTAATTTCCAAGCTAGTTACAAAATTGTACTACTTGTTTACTGTGGCAACAAGCGGCAGGGTCACTAAAGGCATATAAGTGATTGGAAGTGTAAATATTATTCCATTTCTGTGTTCTTTGGTGCTTTATATTTATGATTGGAAATGCCATTTGTAAACCACCAAATAAAAGGCTTTAAATGATTTGGAAATTTTTAATTTATACATAAGTTGGCACATTTATATATGTTTTTATCATTTTCTGCTGTAAATATTAATTAAACAATTATTTCCTAACAAAAATTAACTGTACCAATGTTTTCATTTATCTTGTAGACAATTCAATTACCTACAAAATGGTTTATTAATCATTTGAATATGTTTATTATTAAGAAAACTGAAGCTGAATTTTTACATACACCTAAAATGAGAAAATGTGACCTAGATTTAATTCGGCCATAGCGGATTTTTCAATCTGGTACTAAATCAGTTAAGATGTAGTATTATAAGAAAACTGTCAATTTTCAATCTGCGCAAAAGGTGTGCACGACTAAGGTTCACGTTACTATAATACCTGAGGCAATTTCGACCTCAAATTAACTCTTTCCCTCCGGAATTATTTTCCACGTTCTGACGGAATTATCTATTTCGGGTTTTTGTTACGCACTATGTTTTCTCTAAACCTTCATAACTTTTTTGTTTTTAATCAGAAAATGTTAATATTGGTATGGAATTAAAGGGAAATGCATGCTCTTTGCAAGTAAACAAGATTTTGGTTTAAATTTTAATAAATAAATGTGATTGTGTATTAAGGAAAATAAAAATTTATTTTTAAAAACTCACCAAATGTTCACAAAACACTCATTCGAAGTCACACGAAGAAAACTATATAATCCAAAGTGGAACAAAAATGTTTTTTTTCTCAACTATATCCATATGTGCATCACAAATAATAAAGATCAACTTTCAAAAAAGAAAAAATTAAACCTCAGAGCACATTATCCATTGTCACCGCCACACAAAAAATTAGCAAAAAAATGTAACTAATTCCACTGGAAACAATCTGTTGCTATTTAAAAAATAATTGCACTGTATCCTTGTATGTACCAACATTTATAATAGTAAATGGAGAATTTACCATACATTAGTCACATATTTCCATCTGGGTTTAGCAATAGTAAGCCTAAAAAACAATCCATATGGATGTGCCCTTTAGCTGGGGGGCGGGGCTGGTTGTTCATCAGCTGATGAATTACCAATTTCATTATTTTGTCACTAGTACTACTAATACTAGTACTAGGATTATAATCATACGATTCAACAGAATCAGCCTCTGCATTTGAAATCATAAAATCACTGTCTGAATCATCATCAGAGTAATATTTTCCACCTTTATTAGATTGATCACCATATGGATCAGGTCACGATTTCATGTTTGTAAAAAAAAAAAAAATGGACAATCAAAACAACCGCTTCAAACAATTCGTTCTTCGTTCTAACACAGTAAAACCGGATATTTATGAAAGGGAAATCATTCTAGAATTGATTTAAAATAACTAAATACCAATAGCTAAGAAAAGAACCGAAATAAACAGGTTTTTATACATTGACGATCCCATCGTCGATACGCCGAAATCTTCATTTCAAATCGACGATGGGAGCGTTGATCCGGAGGGAAAGAGTTAATGTTTTTAAAATTAATTGAATAAGGATTTTTTAAAATTAGAAAAATTTTTAGATTTTTTTTATTTTAAATATTTTTAAAATGTGACGTCACAAATTTTTTTTACGCCCCTCCCCCAGTCTCACCCCTCTGAGCGTGACGTATTTGCGAATGACCCCTAATGAGAAGTCACCCACCGCTGTCGCCATGTTTGGTGGGTTATTTCTAATTTTAAATAAACCTTCTCCCTACTTGTATAAGTTTTATGGCTAGTGACTTTGAAGCACAGATGTGTATTTTCACACTTGGCTTTTCCATTTGGTAACTACCCCCAAAGCCAATATTGTGTTTTAATTTGTTATTCTAATTTACTACCAGTCTTTCTTAAAGAGATAGTATTGCAGAAGGTCACTTCCAGCCACCCGTGTCCCAGGAATATTTACCTGATGCGACACTTGGGCATACGTAAGGTGTAATCACTGATCTGGTTCTCCGAAACAACATCCCTGCCCTTGCCCTTTTTCACGCCCCCGGGGGTCAGAGGAGGCCATTCCCCGACGGGCTTATCGTCCGCCACCGCCACAGTGTCGTGGAGGTCAGAGAGCATGAGGTCACGAGCCTCCTCGATTATAATCTGGCTCTTCTTATTGGCAAACAGCATGTTGATGTTCTGAACGTGGTTCATTAAAGTGTTATTTTCCAGTGGTATAAACCCTAATCTCTTAAGCTCACCTGGTTCAATAGAAAGGTAAAAAAATCAATCACTGATGATTTAATCTCATACAAATTATGATAAAGAAATCTGATAAATTATTCTTAAGAGCTCTGAAAGAGTTGGGTTTTTTTACATCGCATTTTTTAAAATATAACTTTATTTTCCTGTTGCCTAACAAGAGCATTGTAAAATGCCATACTATAATTTAATGGATAACTTGGACATTTAAAAAACAAGAACATACTTTGTCCTCTACAGTAAAATTATGCAATGTGGGTATCTCTCAGGTCAAACAGATAAGCACAGGAGAGTTGCACAGATGAAAATAGCTTATTAGTCAAGATTACTGAGTCATCAGCCTCTCAATATTTATTACATAATCAACGACTGTGCTTCTTAATTCTCAACTGTGCTTCTTAATTCTTGAAATATGATCAGCCAATCATCCCCACTTCCACTCAACCAAATCTGGACTAACTTAACTGTGAGCACCACACGTTCTACAGATCGGCCCATGGTGCACTAGTGACCTAAGTCACATTCTACATGCCAGCCCATGGTGCACTAGTGACCTAAGTCACATTCTACATGTCGGCCCATTGTGCACTAGTGACCTAAGTCACATTCTACATGTCGGCCCATGGTGCACTAGTGACCTAAGTCATATTCTACATGTCGGCACTCTTCTTCACTTTAAACAAAGTCACCCGCGCAAGTCATCAGTCACCAGACGACTCGATGGTCCTCGTCGATCCTTGACGGACGAACAATAAAACAAGTCGGCACATGGTACACTAGTGACCTAAGTCACATTCTACATGTCGGCACATGGAGCACTAGTGACCTCAGTCACATTCTACATGTCAGCCCATGGTACACTAGTGACCTAAGTCACATTCTACATGTCGGCACATGGTGCACTAGTGACTTAAGTCACATTCTACATGTCGGCACATGGTACACTAGTGACCTAAGTCACATTCTACATGTCGGCACATGGAGCACTAGTGATCTAAGTCACATTCTACATGTCGGCACATGGAGCACTAGTGATCTAAGTCACATTCTACATGTCGGCCCATGGTGCACTAGTGACCTAAGTCACATTCTAAATCATGCCAGCACATGGTGCCCTAGTGACCTAAGTTACATTCTAAATCATGTGAGCCCATGGTGCACTAGTGATCTAAGTGCACCTACAAATAAAAATGATCAAATTAATCTGTTTGTAAAAGCCAAGCCCATGGCTAATTGGCACACAACACAGTGGCTAGGAGGTGCCAAAATAAATTAGGTTATGTCATATCAAGCTATTGTAATGGGGGTGTTGTGCCCACCCCTCGCCCCCCCCACCCCTCACTTCCGGCGACAGGAATGGATACTTCTTGAGTTGTATACTGTGCTCTGTTCTTTGTTATATTTTCATTTCTACTGTTGGCTGAGGAAGGCTTTATGCCGAAACGTCCTGGTTTTTTGTCCTGTTATCTTATGTCTAGCTTCCACATAACTCGTTTTGCTATTTCATTCATTTACTAAGCTTGAAAACAGACCTTTAATTTATATTTTCAAGATTCTATTACCTAGTTCCTACAATGCACTTATTACAGTACAGGTATTGCTCGACTTAAGACCACTTTCGGTTCCGACAGACCGGTCATAACACAATTTGGTCGTAAGTTGAGTACGCTATGTGTACAGTCATGTGAAGTGATGTTATAAAATTATTTAAGTTAATTTATATCATAAATTTCATTTATTATTGTTATAAATCATAATTTTCTATGTTCATTTTATGCCATTTGTTTCACCATTTTGTTTCTCATTAATATAAATCTGAAATCTAATATTGCTAGTTATTGTTGTCGAATGGTCATAAGTTGCATAGTCGTAAGTCGAGCATGACCTGTAATTCCAAATGTAACAAAAGTTTAATATAAATTAATATGGTTTTCAAATTGTAATAAGATGCTCACTTTCAAAAAGCTTAGTTGCTGCAATGACTGCATTGAAGCCACCAAGATCTTTAGCACTGGTCGGCACAGCTTTAGCCAAAACTGTTCTCTGAAGCAGATCCAGCAATGATGGTGCGATATCCTGACCTAAAAGTGACATCAGCGTCCCTTTCTTTGACAAGTGGCCAGGTGAATTAGGATCTGAACCTATCTCCCAGCCGAAATCAAAGTGCAGAAGAATTTTGTCTAATTGTGTGAGGACATCAAGCAAATGTGAAAAAACAGAAGCATAGGTCTTTTCTTCCGAGGCACCGACGGGGCTTTTCTTGCTGTCCTTGGTTGCAAGTGTTAAAGTTGAGTTGGCGGTGTTATTCTTCAACTCAATTTGTAGCTGACCGGCCTCTAGAATCATAGGCAAGAGATGATTGTGAAAGCGCTCAGAGAAAGCATTCATCCTTCGTTCCAACAGACCGGCTCTGTGCAGGCCCTCCACCAGCTCTCTCAGGTTTACATCCGTGCTCACTGACATGGAAACCTCTCTTGGTGGTAGGCCAGACTTCTGGTCATTCATGACAGTCCACTTGATGGCATCTACCCAGAGGTCAGACATCATGCTTTCTAGTTTACCTTTCTGAACCTGTATTGAAACAACAGAATGAACATTCAGTTCTTGAGTAGGCTTGAACACAATAAAATAATGATTTGTTAAGTAGGGTGTAGAGCTTGAACACAATAAAATAATGATTTGTTAAGTAGGGTGTAGAGCTTGAACACAATAAAATAATGATTTGTTAAGTAGGGTGTAGAGCTTGAACACAATAAAATAATGAGTTGTTAAGTAGGGTGTAGAGCTTGAACACTAAAATAATGATTTGTTGAGTAGGGCATAGGGCTTGATAAAATAATGAGTTATTGAGTAGGGCATAGGGCTTGATAAAATAATGAGTTGTTGAGTAGGGCATAGGGCTTGATAAAATAATGAGTTGTTGAGTAGGGCATAGGGCTTGATAAAATAATGAGTTGTTGAGTAGGGCATAGGGCTTGATAAAATAATGAGTTGTTGAGTAGGGCATAGGGCTTGATAAAATAATGAGTTGTTGAGTAGGGCATAGGGCTTGATAAAATAATGAGTTGTTGAGTAGGGCATAGGGCTTGATAAAATAATGAGTTGTTGAGTAGGGCATAGGGCTTGATAAAATAATGAGTTATTGAGTAGGGAGGGCTTGATAAAATAATGAGTTGTTGAGTAGGGCATAGGGCTTGATAAAATAATGAGTTGTTGAGTAGGGCATAGGGCTTGATAAAATAATGAGTTGTTGAGTAGGGCATAGGGCTTGATAAAATAATGAGTTGTTGAGTAGGGCATAGGGCTTGATAAAATAATGAGTTGTTGAGTAGGGCATAGGGCTTGATAAAATAATGAGTTGTTGAGTAGGGCATAGGGCTTGATAAAATAATGAGTTGTTGAGTAGGGCATAGGGCTTGATAAAATAATGAGTTGTTGAGTAGGGCATAGGGCTTGATAAAATAATGAGTTATTGAGTAGGGTTTGACACAATAAAATAATGAGTTATTGAGTAAGGTTTGACACAATAACATAATAAGTTATTGAATAGGACTTAACACAATAAAAGAATGAGTTATTGAGTAGGACTTTACACAATAAAAGAATGAGTTATTGAGTAGGGTTTGACACAATAAAATAATGAGTTATTGATTAGGGTTTGACACAATAAAATAATGAGTTATTGAGTAGGACTTTACACAATAAAAGAATGAGTTATTGAGTAGGACTTTACACAATAAAATAATGAGTTATTGAGTAAGGTTTGACACAATAAAATAATGAGTTATTGATTAGGGTTTGACACAATAAAATAATGAGTTATTGAGTAGGGTTTGACACAATAAAAGAATGAGTTATTGAATAGGACTTAACACAATAAAAGAATGAGTTATTGAGTAGGACTTTAGACAATAAAATAATGAGTTATTCATTAGGGTTTGATACAATAAAATAATGAGTTATTGAGTAGGGTTTGACACAATAAAATAATGAGTTATTGAGTAGGGTTTGACACAATAAAATAATGAGTAATTGAGTAGGGTTTGACACAATAAAATAATGAGTTATTGAGTAGGACTTTACACAATAAAATAATGAGTTATTTAAGAGTTATACAAAAGAAGAGTGGGGATGGGGTGGAGATATGAAGTTTAATGTGATATGGTGCTTATCTTTCATTGGTGCCTTGTCTTCTCACTTTCAAATAACTGATGATCAATCACCAACCTTAAGTTCCGTCCTCATTGACAGTATCACTGTGATTGTGTCATCATCATCACACAGAGGCTGCTTGAGGAACATTTCAAGTCTGAGTAATGCAGCAGCTGCCTTACTGTACTCTCCACTCCGCAGTGCTTCATCACAATCCTGATTTTGACATATAGATTTGAAGATATTCTAGGCATAAAACTATTTAAATGTGGCCCAAAGTAATATGAATAGATTAATATTTCAGTTGAATTTGAGGATTTAAATCCTGAGACCCATGGGATGTTTGCAATCTTTAGCATGCATTCTATTATAAATTTCAAAAATATTTCTGTATATAAAATTAATCATGCTAATCGATTCATTGGGGCCACAGCTTTGAATTCTTATCAACTATAAAAAACCAAGCACTTATTTTTTTTAAAATGTATTTTATTTCTGATTTTGTTTCTACTCCATAATCCTTTTTTTTTAACTACCCTAAAAACAGTAAAAGGACAATAGTTCTCAACACACACCCCCCTTTCCAAAACCTACACACACGATAAAGAAAGAAAAAAGCTGCCCACATATTGAAATATCAGAAGAATTAAATCAACTTTGATTTTTTTATTTTTTTTATTAGTCAATTAACTATAATGGTACCTTTCTGGTCGGACTGGGTGAACAAATGTGGACATATCACAGGACACCTAGAGTAATATTTTACTTCCCATACTTTAATTTTAGAAACTACACGAAAACTAATATTATAATTAAATAATTTATTTTCTCTTTTTATAGTAGTGACGGGTTCTTGTACTCAGTAACACAGCACGAACTCATAGAATTTTTCTAAAGACTGAATAAAATAAGTTTCCTACTCTTACAAATGCTCATAAATTGATCTAGGTCTTGAAAAGTTTTAATTAAATAGTACAAGTTGTGACAGATAAGTTAAAAACTCTTCCAAGAAAATTATTAATCTTAAAATAGATTATGTAGTCTAATCCCAACAATGTCAACTAATTTAAAAATACCTTTAGCAGGCTGCCAATCTCAGAGAGGTAGGCCAGTCCTTCAATAATGGTTTTCTTTTTTTCCACTTCTTCATTGAGACTCTGGAAATCGCCGGTGGACAAGGAGAGCTTACCTTTGACCTGAAACAATTTTGAAATCATGTTTAGGAACTTGAATCCAGTATTTTTAAAAACCCAACACGTACGCAGAGGCAAATGTCAGATGTGTAGGGCCAACCAACACCAACTTCTGTCAAGCTAGTTGTATTTACAAAAAAGTTCAGGTCTCAAACATTCCTGGACAAAGCAAATTATAATAACCTGCAGGTAGGACTATAACAGCAAGCCGGGGCCTCCTGCATAGGCAACTGAAAACAGGCCTCATACACATGCAACTGATAACAGGCCTCATTCATTGGCAACTGATAAAAGGCCATATACATAGGAAACTGATAACAGACCTCATACATAAGGAACTGATAACAGACCTCATACATAGGCAACTGATGACAGGCCTCATACATAGGCAACTGATGACAGGCCTCATACATAGGCAACTGATAACAGGCCTCATGCCTAGGTTACTGACAATATGAGCAGAAAAGATTATTAATAATTACTTTACATATTATTAGTCTAATGAAAATTTGAATAGCTACGAGTTACTTCCCCTGTAATAGTTGGATCCTATGATGAGGAAGAAATAACTGGCATTTTAATAGACTGCACTTTGAAATGGAAAAACTGGAAAATGCAACAAAACTTTTCTTAAATATATGGGACCAAGTGTAGAATATTATTATTTTCCAGAGCATTATTTAAATTTAACTGTACCAATCCCATCATATGTTGTAGAAAATAGGCAATTTCAGCCTCGTGTTGTAATGAGGAGATGAGTTCACGATTGCCAAACCAAAATCAAATATAAATGAGTTTTCACTACAAAAGCAAAACCTCACTTCTCACTGAATTGACCGTTAAAATATATGTACATTTCTTAGACTTTCAAAATGTTATTTTATAAGAAACAAGTACCAGACCACAAAGTGTACAAGACAAACTAGTGAGCTGATGCCCTACTTACCTCATTGTTTATTCTGGTCTCTATGGAAGAGATCTCAGAATGCAGACTTTGAACTTCCTGGTGAAGTCTTTCCGTTTCCTCAACAGAGTTTCTAAAATTTATATACTTGCTTTCTGCCAATTGATGAACCTCGACCTCCAACTCACTAAGACTGCGGGTGAGCACATCCAATTTTTCATGGATAGCTTTTTGTTCCATCTGACCTATATTTAGAAACAATACAAGAGGAGTGATAAAGTAGGCCTAATGGACACTAATGTTTATGTTACATAATAGAAGGTAAACAGTGGAAGTTATCGTTCCTAGGGTGTGAGACATCAACATTTCAGAGCTACACCAGCAGATCTTAAGTGTAGCCCTAATCTATCATAATGCTGGTATTTTAAGTGTAGCCCTAATCGCCTTAACCAGTGATCGGAAAACTCATTAGTCAAAAGAGCCAAAAATCAGCAACAGGACATTTAATAAATTTTGAGAACCAAATTTATTTTCAAAAACCTGTAAAGAACCATTTTTTTGGAGTCAAAACCGATTTGAGGCCAAATGATCGAGCCGCACTCAGGTCGCTAAAGAGACACACTTAATATGAAAGACATGTAAATGTATAATAATATATATATATATATTAAATATATTGTACTTCTGACATCATTTTGTAGGGAAATATGCCTTGCCTTATAATATTTATATTACCTATGAATTTCTAATAGTGGGGTCATTTGACATTTGACTCATTTGAAAAGACGGCTAATTTTGAGTATCATCCCCGTGACTTCCTTTGCGTGTTTATTACAGTTGCAGGGATCGATTTAGGTTCAGGTTAGGCATAGGGATCGATTTAGGGTTCAGGATACGCATAGGGATACATTTAGTTTAGGTTTAGTGACAGAATTAACTGGTTGTGTCAACCAAGATGACAGAAACCCCGGGGAGATTTCTCAACATTTACCGAAAAGACAAAAAAATATGATGGAAATATAGGTCAAGATGTCCACTTCACTACTACTACTGTCAATGTGGATGAAAACAACAATTTTATGACAAAAAAAGTCCTTTCGGGGCTTTCATCAATGAAAAAGCATCAACTTCCAAAAATCAAAAACTCGGGTTCTTCTGCGGCGATTCCCATAAAATTTGTGAAGTAGTCTCCATTGCCTTACCGAAGTAGTGCAGACTATAGACTGTCAATTCAATTATTGACAATTTTCAATCATTTAATTTAAATTTTGATTATGAATATTGACAGCGGCATCACGATATTTCATCTTCCGATTTTCCCGAGCTTTACTGAAGTGCTTAAGGCCTTTATCGGCTGCCATCTTATTTTCATTTAAAATGAAGTGAAATATTTTACTTAAATATAGATCTAACTTTACCTGCATGTTCCAAAATTTTTCCAACGAAGGATGTCATTTTTAAAGTTTACAGACGATAGCTCTGGACATAGGAGAGCTATACTAAATCCTTAGAGGGAAATCATGGCTAGGAATATAATTTATATTGAAATTCCCCTCCCCTAAAAAAAATGTTCATCTATGTTTTAGAAAAGACTAAAGACTAAAAAGATACAGATAGTTATAATGAATTTTTTAATATTATTAAATATAATTCTTAAGTGATTCAAGCAGTTTTAGTTTTATTTCATGTTGATTGGTTTGTTTTTTCCTCCTCAAGTCGTATGATCATGTTTAATCGATAAAGATATTAAAATAAATTGCTATTTTAGCTGACATGAATATTAATTGATTTTGTAAGATTTTTTGGACTTCTCAAAATCAATCATAAAAAAATAAGTATAGATAACAGATAGGTTTCACGATAACTCTAGGCCATGTAATTAGAGCATTCCAATCCAAATTAATTTTGTAATTTCGTTACAAAGAAGAGCAACTTCCTTTTTTAATAGCGGTCAGCAAGACTACACTTCTTTAGCACAATTTAATACGAATGTTCGAAACATAGAAGACATTTACTCTAAATATGTTATCCAGAACTACAATCGGCATTGCAGCGGCAAGTGCTGGGATTTGCTTCATAGGTTATTGTTTCTACTTTGACCGGAAAAGAAGAAATGACCCTGATTTTAAGAGAAAGCTGAAAGAAAGTGTGTCATCATTCTAAATTTAAATTAATTAAATGATTTATACGTATAGTTTATCTCATAATTATATTATTAATGAAAGGTACTTATATGTGTTGCTAGTTACCTATAACGGCTATAATTAAGTCAAATGCAGTTAGAAGCAGGGCCGGTGATGTCTTCCATTGTATATATGTCATGGAGTTTATTTATTTATTTATTTATTTAGGCATTTTTATATAGCGCTTATCATAAAGCTCTAAGCGCTTTACAATTATTAAAACATGTGAACTAAGTAAAATAAAAATGAGACACTAGGATAGTAACTACCAACTACCAGTACCAGCCATAGTTCCTTATTCAAAAGATTTTTAAAAATATATTTTGTCTTGAAAATTGTGTCATGTGTCCCTCCAAAAATTATTTAGTTTCTTATTTTGAACAGCTAAACATCAACCTTTTTATAACAAACCATTCAAAAATGTAGGCGGTTTTTCCAAATGAATTTAGGCCAGATTCTTTACTTTTAAGGTATGGAAAGGTTTTACATCAAAAGTTATGGTAGTTAAATTAGTAAGGGATGGGGAGGAGTGGGTTAAATCAGAAAAGTAGCCACTCCACTAATAATAAGCACTGGCACTGCCAAATTAACCAGAGGAACCTTCCGTTATCTATCTTGTGAAAGATGTTGCCTTCATCCTGTCAAAAGTACACAAGCCCCAAAATATAAATATGATATAAAAGTAAAGCATACTATATATATTAGGCTTATCACTTGTCCTCATCCTAAATATGAATCATTAACATCATTTTATGATGCAGTATAAAAATACATTTTCTTGTCATTTCTTTTTTATTCATTAAAGAGAGGAAATCTGCAAAGCATCAGAAATCAAAAAGTGGTGGAACTAGGGTAAGTATTGAATTCTAATTTTAGCTTATTAAAATTAAATATCCGGTGATATGTTTAATATTGACATTTTACATTACAAGAATTTTGAACTTCCAAGAAAACAGTAAACGGGTACAGATAGCTTATGTCATGTTTTTGTACGGGTACCAGTATTAGAAGTTTTTGTTCATGAAATAATTAATCCTTCTTCTTTTTACCTAGCTACCAGACCTTACAAATCCTGAAGCAATGCAAAGGTTTTTCCTACAGGAAGTCCAAAGAGGAGAGGAACTACTTGCTACTGGCAAGAATTTTTTTAATTTATTTATTTAAGTATACATTTTTTCATGGTTCTAGAAAACATTAAATATTTTACCCATTTCTTATATTATAATAATAAGCTCTGGGTTATTTGAACTTTATATATTATACCCACATGAGATACCAGTAGTAAAAACTAAATGCAACAAATAAAATTTGGGTGATACTGAACCCAGATAGTAAGCTGATGACACTGATATTCCCTTGTAATCATATAATTTCAATTTATCACCAAGTTATTAGCAGTTTTGAAGAGAAGCATTTATTTGTATTACTTTATGATAAATTAAATCACCTTATAAAAACATGTTTTAAATTTATTTTTTATCTTCTTTTTTTTCTTTTCATGAACAGGAGACATCGAAGAAGGTGTGGAGCATTTGAGTAATGCCGTAGCTGTTTGTGGGCAGCCACAGCACCTGCTGCAAGTGCTACAGCAGACATTGCCTCCACAAGTGTTCGCCTTGTTGGTACAGAAGCTGCCTTCTGTTGGAGCGGTAAGAGCAGAGTTAGAAAAATATTTACAGGGATAAATTATTTCTATAAACCTTAGTTCCCAGGTTATAAAATACCGTAATTTAAAACTTGAAAGAAATCAATCCCTGTACCGGGTATTAGTAATGACATTGAGTTTTAAATTTCCCTTTAAATAGCCAATGGTGGAGTCTCTTACTTGTCGCATGAACACTTTCTATTTTTATGTTTACTTTTACAGAATAAATGGCAAATACCATTTTTAAAAATCTTAGAACCTATTGTTAAATATGGTTTTATATTCTGGTCACTCTATTAAATTTGTTTTTAATAGCGCCTAGCCATGGCAGGGGCCGGTGGTGCTGCTGGACAGGGTCTGTCACCTGATCAAGGTGTGATTGATGAAATCGTGGACTAGAACAATCCTGGAATCTGGGTGTCACTATCACCCATTGCTGCAGTGGGAATGTTCACAGCTTGAGTGGCATGTTAGAATATATGATTTTAAATTTATTTTAAATTGCGTGTGATCAGAAATGTGAGATGAATGCTAGATTTCAACACAGACCAATACAAACTTGTAATAGTAATAACTAAACGGACTGCATTGGAAAATGCCTTTCTGCCATTAATTTATACTAGTGTTGTCAAACTTTTTATTTTAATAAATCAACCATGTGCATTGTTATGCCTTCCATGGTGGTACTATCAAAATATTATAATGTAAGTAACATTTTTAAACAGTTGTCAGGGCTTATTTTATTTAAGAAATGACTGTATACTGAATCTTTTTTAATAATTCAGACGCAATACAGCTAGGAGGGTCCCAAACCTTTACTAAAATGTGCATCCTATGTCAACATTTTTTAACTGAAAATTTTGTGTTAAAAATAACGGACTCTTAAGCAGGGATCCAGTTGGATTCAAAACACTAGCATCACATACCTTCACCTCATAGTTGACAATTAGTCTAGGAATTCTTTTTAAAAAATTTACTGAAAATGGTTCCCTACCCTGCTGTATTAACTATTGTAATGTCATTAATTATTATGAAATTCACTTTGCCATGTGACATAGGTACATAATCTGCGAGCATTCAAAATGTGTTGACCCTTACAGATTTATAAAAACTGACATTTTGATATCTACTTGTTAGGCAAATCAGTTGTACTTTTCGTTGACATAATGTGGTCATTTTGTTTCCACGTCTCGTAAAATGAATAAGCTCAAAATGGCAGTAACCTGTATTTGATTTGAGCAACTGTTGAGTGAAGCGGGCATGGCTTGTTACATTAGTTGTATTATACTTGATATCATTAAATCATTTTTTTATCACAATGGTGGTCGCTAGTCATATCTTTCATTCTTACCATAATTTAAATGTATGTTATCCTGCCTGTTTACCCAAGTGGAAGTGGTGTGAACTCAACCCTGATCCTGTACACATGGTGTCATGTGTTATTTGAGGTGTAAGTTTAATTAATAAATCACGTACCAATAGCTGTTCTGTGTGGAGCAAAACTTCAAATGCTAATTATACTTAAATTTATATCATAAATTACCAATTTATAAACAAACAAGCAAATTTATTTTTTCCTGCAGACAAACCTGCAATTAAACTAGTACCAGTACAATCAACACATCAGCGGTACACAAACTACCACAAAGCACAAATTGTGCAAGTGATTAATTTTAATTGTTTCAAATCATTGTTTTTATTAATACCTGTACAGTTTGTCTTGACTTAAAAAGTGCAGTCTTCATAAGACTTAAAATTAAATAATTGAAATAAAAGCATGTAAGTGTAAGAAAAACTTGACATCAATTTTACATAGATAACAAACTGATAGCATAAACATATTCAATGATTGGACCACAGCCTTCCTTGTCTGTCTTAGTCTTAACTGTCTACCTCTTTGTTGCTTTATTTGTAATACATCAACTGCATTATTAGTAGATTACGGTAGTGAATAAATGTCATAAAACTGGCAAATAAGATAAACCCTGCATTAAGTGCAGCCCAAAGGGCTCAATTTAGTTGCTTTTTTTTATCAGAAGTACCTGGTATTTAAGTATCTGGATTTTTTTAAAAATTTAAATCACATTGTTTTTTAATCTTGAAAGTTAATTTAGTTATAAGTATAATAAAGAATTATTCTCTCATTTTCAAACACCTGTATAAAATGTATAAGTATAATATATTTTTGCTAAGCATTTTTTTTTTATATACCATATGTAACTATAAGTAGCAAGGCTGATTTTGATATTTTCTGCTGAGGTAAAAGTAATGTTATAAATATACCAATTATTTTTTCTTTGGGAGCAGGGGAATGTTTAAACCTATGGAAACTTATTTTTGCGCTACCCGGTATTAGTATTAGTAATATTACTAAGTATTACATAAAATCAAGTCTCAACCAGCCACAGCTCTTCAGCCACCACATTAGGTGAATCACTTTTCTCAACCAGCCACATTACTTCAGCCATCACATAAGGTGAATCACCTTTCTCAACCTACCACAGCACTTCAGCCACCACATTAGGTGAATCACTCTTCTCAACCTACCACAGCACTTCAGCCACTACATTAGGTGAATCACTCTTCTCAACCAGCCACAGCACTTCAGCCACCACATTAGGTGAATCACTCTTCTCAACCTACCACAGCACTTCAGCCACCACATTAGGTGAATCACTCTTCTCAACCTACCACAGCACTTCAGCCACTACATTAGGTGAATCACTCTTCTCAACCAGCCACAGCACTTCAGCCACCACATTAGGTGAATCACTCTTCTCAACCTACCACAGCACTTCAGCCACCACATTAGGTGAATCACTCTTCTCAACCTACCACAGCACTTCAGCCACCACATAAGGTGAATCACTCTTCTCAACCAGCCACAGCACTTCAGCCACCACATTAGGTGATCACTTTTCTCAACCACCCAAAGCACTTCAGCCACCACATAAGGTGAATCACTCTTCTCAACCAGCCACAGCACTTCAGCCACCACATAAGGTGAATCACTTTTCTCAACCACCCAAAGCACTTCAGCCACCACATTAGGTGATTCAGATTCACTCTTCTCAACCAGCAACTTGGTCACAGCACCCCAGCCACCACATTAGGTGAATCTTTTTAACATGCCCACCATATAAGGTGAATGAATCTCTCTTTTAAATCATGCTTTTGACAACATAATGTAAATATTTCTAGATAACTTATTGATCATTATTTATTAAATTATTGGTACAAAAATTCAACGATTTGGCCAAAAACAATATTCGTGCATGGATACACAAATAAAAAAATAATTTGTGTATCATTTGAAGTAGAAGCAAAATGCTAGGACACTTAAGTATCAAAATAAATAGGACACTTCATACAAAAATCACATCAAATTCAAATGTATGAACGAAAATTTGAAAAGAATTTGATCGTGTGAACTGAGCCCAACACTTTAAATTAGTTGGATCAGCTGTAGAAGTAGTACGGTACTGCTGATAATCATTTCCATAAGACCATGTTTTATTCCTATCTACCTCAGCAGCAAACTTCAATCAGCCATGTACGGTACAAATTATTTGTGAAGTAATTATTTTTTTTAACATCAAAAGCAAACATGTAAAAGTAAAATGGGGATAAAAGAAATATTCAACAAATCTATAAAAAGATTTATATTTTATTTTAGCTATTAATAACTATTAAATCTTTTTTTGTTTTGTTTATGGGGGTTGCAGTGTTGAGGGTCTGAGAAGACCCTGAAAGTTCAGGTTTATTTGCATTTTCTTAGTGTTTATTTATTACAGGTAATGTTTTTTGAAATCAAGATGGGGTGCAGTAAATGTTTTGAAATCAAAAAGAATGTGGAACAGCAAAAAAGTTTAGAACCCCTGGTCTAAATGAAATCTAAATAAACATCATAAATAAAAAAAGCTAGGGAATTTATAGCCTGATTACAGTAAAAAAGATCATTCAAAATTCATCTAATGTGGTTGTTTCCATGTGTCGGTGTCATATGTCCCCTGTCCACCACTATGTTTATCATTATAATGTCCAGTGCAAGAAATAAACAAGGCAATTTATCTTTTCATAAAGGATTATTTACAATTACAAGTATGCATTTAATTAATAGTTCACAGAGCTATTAATATTTATTTATAAAGCAATCACAAGCAAATTTCGGTGGGTTTAGGAAATGACTTATTTGTTTTTCCAGACTTTGGACACCGAAAGAATGAGTAGATCTTGTCTTCAACTGCCAACTATTTTTAGTATTACACTGGATAGGAAGCTCTGGTACAGCACAGGGTCTTATCGAAAACAGAAAATAAATTACTTACTTTCTACATTAATGTAGGCAGTTGGGGGGAAAAGTTAGAGAATCCAACTCCACAAAACTGGGGTTGCAGTTTAAATTGTCCTAATTCACTGACAGAGTGAAACATGCTCTCTAATTCACACTGTTATTACTGTAACTTATTGAGAGTGAAACATGCTCTCTGGTTCACACTTTTATTACTGTAACTTACTGAGAGTGAAACATGCTCTCTGGTTCACACTTTTATTACTGTAACTTACTGAGAGTGAAGCATGCTCTCTGGTTCACACTTTTATTACTGTAACTTACTGAGAGTGAAACATGCTCTCTAGTTCACACTTTTATTAGTCTACCTGTTCTTATCTAATGAGATTTAGTCCAGCAGATAGATCATATATAATTTAAACAAAGCAGATCTTTGCCAAAATATTTGTGGTTATATAGTAACAGCTTTAATATTAACGATATAACAACTGAAGAACACCAAAACAATACATGTATGAGGCACATAGCATCACCATAAGTATCCATTAATTATATAGTGTACATATGTACATTGGCAATGACACAGTATGATTTAAAGCGATAGTAGAGCCATATCACAAACACAACAAGAGTACATTTTAGCTGCAGCTGTGCAAGTCATCATTATTAATAAGCTTAAGACAGACGTGCACATTTTTTGGTGTAAGGGCAGGTCATCGTCACCCTATTAGGTCATCACCACCCACCAGGATTAGGTCATCAACACCCACCAGGAAAAAATATATAAGTTAATCAACATGATACCTAAATATTTTTTTTATTAATGGAAGGCATGCATTACTTTCCTTGATAAGTAAGTACCATAATTGGCCAGATAAACGCACATCTCTGGTACTACCCTACTATTCTTAAATCTGCTTTTAGCATGGATGAAGAATGACAACATACTTCCTGATCCATCACATTAAAAACATGGGAGAGGAAAAGAAGACCCATCAACATGAACAATGAGCATTTTCAATTATTTAATACATTGGAGGAGGGCAGGGGTCACTTTTGGTTTAAATTGGTCATCTCATCCTTGATGATGACAAGAATGTGTTAGCAACACTTACCTCCCATGTTGTTGAATACAGAAACAAACAATACATTATATTCCTGTACAATTTTAGGACCAATGGAAAAAAAAGGAAACTATCGCAGGTAAGTAGCATAACAGAATAAATGGTGGGTCGAATCAGTGGAAAGCTAAGCAGCCCACTTACAAATGTGGTTGTTTTCATATGCAAGGGTCCTACAAATATTCAAGGGCTAAAAATATTGCTTGACAGACCAACGTGCATTTAAATGTAAAGAGAAATGAAAATGGCAGACAAAAGACCTCATTGCAAAAAGGACTAGTGGTTTCAAAAAGAAATTTGTCTAAGGGGGACAGTAATAATCCATCAGAGAATAACAAGAACACATTATGACCTTTTACCAAAGACCTAATGATCCTGTAAAGGTCCACCTAAGATTTCCACAAGAGTGATTACTCGTGGTTAACCTTGGAAAACCCCAAACAACAGCACATGTGATACTTTGCAAGAGCTCAAGGCAGGGGGCACAAAACTGAAAAATGGCAGGCACTGATCTAAATCCTTGAGAATTAAAATTTGTAAGTTATTTCTAAGAGAGACTGAAGTGGTGACTAGACACCCGTCAAATATAAACTTGTAATGGTATCTATGTAACTAGGACGGACGTATCCGAACCACTGCCCTTTTGTAATGAGGAGGACAAGTCTGTAAGAATACAAATAGTCATATTATGGTTAATACGAAAAGATTTTTGTATGATGTTCATTCATAAATGACAAAATCTAATTCAGTACTTTTTATATTTTAGTGAAAAGTTCATAAGTTCTATCAAAATTTAACCAAGATATAGCTGAACTTGACATAGCAATTTTTTGAAATAGCATATACACTTCATACAGTTTTAGTTAGACACTACAGTCATGATAAAATCTTTGTAGTGCATGTCTTTTATATCACAAGCACAGACCTCACTCTTCATTATCCTATACAGCTCAACAGCACATAACTCATACCATTCTTTTCAATTGTGTTTGTTTTGGCTTTTTTAATTCTTGTTCGCACAATTTGGAGAAATATTTTTTTTTTTTAAATTTGAATGAAAAAAGAAATTGTTGCTAATAATATATGAAATATTTCTGTTATTGAAATCGCCAGTAATCTTCAATCCCTGAACAGTACCGGGAACTGTTAACTGTAACTTAAATGTATCCTACTGGGGCAAATTCATTTTATGATGAAAGCTTCTCAAGCCAATTTGACCAATGAAAGGTGACACCAATGTTTGCCCTATTTAGTAATAGATGCATGTATCCAACAACAATGACATATAAATGTTTCCAACTTGTTAACCTTAGGTACATTAAACATGGGGTGAATCAGATCTCTATACAGGGGTGTAAGTACGAGATACAATTTTTAAAAAACTTTATCGTTACATAAAATTGCACTTATATGTATAGTTTATTTATTCAAAGTATATTTTAAAATTACTTTTCCAGTCCAAGACAAAAAACAAAAAAAATACAATTCGGAAACCACCGCCCTTGGGAAACGGAACAACAAGCTATTTTTATAAAAGTCTTTTTGTTTAATTAAATTCCTCAGTTTTGTTTTTTTTAATTAAAAGTCTTTAGCTTTTTAAAGAAAACTTTCATCTGGAATTGAGCTGATTAGAAGTAGAAGAAATTTAAAGATTCCATGGAGTTTTGAGAACGTTAGATAGAAAAACATTTTTGTTTTGAGAACAATGTTATGCAAAAAAACATTTTTGTTTTGAAAACAATGTTAGATAGAAAAACTTTAGATACAAAATTTAAAGAGATTATTTTAAAACTCCAAAGCAATAATTTATAATGGAAATAAATAGTCATAAATTTTATCGTGATGTTGTAAATTATCATGTCGTGAAGTAAACGGAAACAAATCAGACATTTTGGTAGCTTCAATACTATAAGTTATAACATTTCTACACAAATTTAGTTTCAAATCAGAATTCAGAATTAACAAATCTTATACATTACCGGTACTTACATTTTTTTTTCAATTCCATTAAATGAAATGCCAAGAAGTGTTATTTCATTTCTGGAAACACGATGATTAGTTTAACCAAAAATCTGAAGTTATCTTTCTTTCAGGGCTGCTCAGTTGAAATAGAACTTATTTTGACACTATTTTGCATTAATATTTTAAACACACCTTGAAATTAGGAAGAACTATTTTGATAGCTTATTTTCAAATGACAGCTAATAAACCATTTAGTTAAACCTCAACACAGCAGCCCTGCTTTAATAAATGGTGAAACTTAATACCATTGTCTCAAAAGGTATTAAATCCTACAGTATTAGCGTTGACATACCATTGGGCTTGGAGTTGTACAATTTTCTAGGTTCACCGGCAAACTTTCTTTCGGTTTTTTTTACACGAAAACAATAACTTTATCATTTCTTCAGAACATTTCATGCGCACCGTGCGCAGCTGCCGATGTGCTGAGGTAACTGGGATGCCCGTAGCTGTTACGACTTCCTTGGTAGGAAAACTGTTCAAAGTAAGGAAGCTGGCCATCTTCCGCAATGGGGTCCAGTCTGCTGGTCATCAGGTGGGAACCGGGGGTGAAGTGCACGGATTCTTGGGCGAATTCTTCAGGGATGTACTTGGTGTCCCATTCATTTTCAACTTCAGGTTTCCAGGGCGGGGGGATCTAAACAATTACACAACACAAGGGCAGAAGGCTAACATTAGGGACAAACATAAGAACACAAGATTATGACATTTGTGATGTTATTCCAATGCCCACCATTAAAAACCTTCATTTAAAGAATTATCAGGAGTAAAGAGCAAGGGGTCCCAACTGAAGATCTGAAGTTTCAAAGGTTTGTGTATGGAAATTCATGATTCATTTGAACCAAATGTAATTTTTTTGTTGTTTTTTTTTGGTATGTTTTTATTCATTTTTTTTTTCTAATTGGTAGAGGCTTCCATTTTTTTTTTTTTTTTCAATTCCTATTTTCCATTGGGATGGCTGTATTTTAATTATATTTTTATATTATCCACAATTTATTTAAATTTTTTTTTGGTATAAATTTTTTTTTTTTCTAATTGGTAGAGGCTTCCATTTTTTTTTTTTTTTGCAATACCTATTGTCCATTGGTATGGCTGTATTTTAATTATATTATTATATTATCCACAATTTATTCAAATCTATTTTTGGTATAAATTTGGTAGTGATTCCATAACTAACATATAAATATGAGTTTTGAATCTTATCATATATTTATATAGACTATTCAAAACAACCTTTTTTTAAATGTAATATTATGATGCAAAACACAAAAAAAATAGTTTTCTTATAATAATATGAAATTTTGTAAGTAGCCAAACAGATCTTTTGGGTTGTGGTTTCATCTTAACTAGGAATCTGGCAAGTGTCAATAACCATTCACATAAACTCTTATTTAAATACAGACAAGGGAATAAAGAGCTATGAGTAAACTGTAGAAATCAAAATAATGTTGAAAACTCGGCTAAATTTGAAAAAAACAAACAAAGAAACAAAATTAAACTACATTTGAAGAGGAAGAAATAAACTGGAAAAAAAAAAATAACAACTATTGAAAGCAAAACCAGACTTAAAATGAAAAAGAATCTTCTACACCGCTAGCTTTTAACAAAGACATAACAGCAAAATGGATAATTAAACAACATGTTTTGACAAAAGCAAAACTCACACAAAAAGATAATGATTTTTTAAAACTATGATAATCTTTAATGAGTTAATACAACCAGGATACGAGACACTCACCTGGAATACCACACTGACCAGGGCTAATCAGACAAACCCTATCTAAAAATGCTGTCTTAACAGGACGTTTTGGTCAATTTAAAAAATCTACCGTAATTATATAGAAATATACAAGTTAATGGCAATGGTGGCGCAGCTATGGTTTCAGGTGATGATATATAATGCTTGGTGTTGTTGGGTCAAAGGTCATCAAATAAACATACAGTGATGGTACAAGTGTAATGACCTGGGCCAGCTATGGTTTCAGGTGACGATATACAATGGTTGGTGTTGATGGGTGGAAAGTCATCAAATAAACATACAGTGATGGTACAAGTGTCATGACCTGGGCGTAGCCCTTTTTAAGATGTTTCACACAAGTTTTAAACAAGTATAAAGATTATCCTTTACCATTACACAAGATAAAAAGCTTCTAAAATTACTTTTAATGACTTCAAATAGAAACCAAATCAAGAAACAGTGTCAAAAATGAAATACTACACAAAAAATGTTTACGCAATTGAAAAATGTCAGATAAACAGGGGAGAACAACAAAGAGATACTCAAGTGTGATCTCAGATAGACAAAAGTTGTGTTAAAATCAGCAGTGGCATCCTGTGATCTCAGATAGACAAAAGTTGTGTTAAAATCAGCAGTGGCATCCTGTGATCTCAGATAGACAAAAGTTGTGTTAAAATCAGCAGTGGCATCCTGTGATCTCAGATAGACAAAAGTTGTGTTAAAATCAGCAGTGGCATCCTGTGATCTCAGATAGACAAAAGTTGTGTTAAAATCAGCAGTGGCATCCTACCGGATTGTAATCGTTTGTGCAAACCCGCACTTAAAATTAGAAAAGCTAATCAAACGGGTTGTTCAATTATCAGAAAACTGAATAGAGATAACTAGAACCTGTCCCCAAAGATTGCCTGCCTTTACGGAGCCGGATATTTGGGATGCCACCACTAGTTAAAGGAAACAGGTTTTCTCAAACACTTGTCATTATACTAGACAAATTTAATACAGATTTGTTTTTTAAGTTATCAGACTCAAAACAAAAACAAAAAATTTTGATTAAGCATTGGTATCACCAAAAAAATAAATATGAGCTACAAATACTATGAATGAGAAATTAAGTAGAAATATTCTTTGTACTGTTGACAGAAGGCTGATTAAAGACCATGGTTTTGTTCACAATTAGTTTATTTTCATTAATATAATTGTCTTTCTAAACAAAATACATATAAAATATTGTTTCACATTTGAGTCAACTAGAAAGTGTTTTAAATTATATTCTTATTTATATGATTATTTTTTCAAATGCGTTTCTAAGAACTAGATATTACTGAAATGATCAAAGTTCCCTCGGTGCGGAAACACTTAAGTTAGGGTTTTCACAAAATTGACCAGTGTAGATTGAGTTCATTTTTAACTCCTTCACTGATAATATGAGAGTTGACGTCTTTACCATTAGCCTCATCACCATGACACTTGGCCATTAGCAAATTAGTTTGGCCATCAACTTGGTTGCTTCAACTATAATACCTTTGACTTGGTTCATATTATTATTATTAGCAGTAAGAGTAGATCTAGGTCACCTGACTGTTGAATTGGTTCCTATTATTATTATTAGCAGTAAGAGTAGATCTAGGTCACCTGACTGTTGAATTGGTTCCTATTATTATTATTAGCAGTAAGAGTAGATCTAGGTCACCTGACTGTTGAATTGGTTCCTATTATTATTATTAGCAGTAAGAGTAGATCTAGGTCCCCTGACTATTGACAAACCAAGACGAACTACTTAAGGCTTTGTGCCTATGACATTGGGCCCAAGTTAATCCTAATTCCCAAAACAATGATCCATAAATTTTAAAAAACTTGTGGTCCAAAAAAATCTTATTGTAGTTTTTTAAAATCAAATATAGAGTTGACACACTAGCCACATCTCAATCCACATATCCAATGATTGCACTACAGACAACAAGCCAATACAACAGCAGTTTAGGTTACAAAACACCATTCAAGTGTCACAGTATCCCACACACAAAATATTAATGTAAACATAATGAATAGCGTCTTTAAACACAATAATTAGTAACAAGTTTGAGACAAAGTAAAAAACACAAACCAAGAGACTAGATGCTTTACTGTTAAATATGTGACATCAGTGAGAGAGGTAATTGTTAGATCATACTAAAAAGAAACTCCTCATCACAAAAAACTTGTACACCTAGACTATTATAACCATACTCATTTATTACTCCCATCCTATTCCCAGTCTGTTACAAATGTGGCATGGAGAATCGACCCCATTCTTCAATAAAAGATAGGAAAATTATTTTCAAGTGGACTTTGAGAAGGAAATGTGGCCACCCCTCACCAGACACACATCTCCGCCAGCAAGCCTTTAGAAATATTTTTTAAAATTTAAATCCACCAAAGATTTATAAGTCAAATAAAAAAGATGTACAAAAAATTTAATACAAATCTTACTGATCAAGTACAGGTTAAATAAACTCTGACACAGATTACATAAGGGGCCAAACAAGGCAAACCATTCGTCCATACAGAATATGTTATTGTTGTTATGAGAAACATAACCAACTGGTCATTAACAAGGCAAACCATTCGTCCAGACAGAATATGTTATTGTTGTTATGAGAAACATAACCAACAGGTCATTAACAAGGCAAAACATTCATCCAGACAGAATATGTTATTGTTGTTATGAGAAACCTAATCAACAGGTCATTAACAAGGCAAACCATTCGTCCAGACAGAATATTTTATTGTTGTTATGAGAAACCTAACCAACAATGCAAACCATTCGTCCAGACAGAATATTTTATTGTTGTTGTGAGAAACCTAATCAACAGGCCATTAACAACGCAAACCATTCGTACAGACGGAATATGTTGTTGTTGTTATGAGAAAACTAACCAACATGTCATTAACCATTCATCCAGACGGAATATGTTATTGTTATAAGAATCCTAACCAACAGGTCATTGACAAGGCAAACCATTCGTCCTGTCCGAATATGCTATTTGAACTTGAACATACTTGAACTGTCAACAGTGGATGTAGGTCAATAAAATATGAATGTGATCAATGTTGAACGTCACTGAACAATTGACAGCGTGTCTATGAGAGTCAAAAATATGTGTCAACATTGTGATTTTGAGTTGCACTGTTAACAGTGTGCGTATGGGTCAAAAAATATGTCAACAACATGATTCTTCATTGTATGGTTATATTGCATGTTAAGTTTATAGTGAAAATGTAACTATTTCAGACATCTGTTTAGTTTTAGTTTTTTAAAAAACCACCTGCTAAAGATTTGGACCCTTGTACTCAAATGTGTGTCCATCTAAAAGTTTGAGAACACTTGTAAGTGTTTTAAAGTAAGTCAGACCAAAAACTGTACAGTGTAGAGGCTCCAGCCATAAAATCAATCACAGATACAATAAAAACCACGCATCAGTTCTAATAACAAAGCAAATAGTGGCAAGTTCATTGCCCAAGTCTTCAAATGACGCCAAGCATCGGCTAAGAGACATGTTAACAAGTGTACATTTACTGCTCATCTCACAATTCTTGTGTACACTTGACACCAATATTACTTGAGCCCATAGATGAATAAAAATCAATAAGATCCTTTTTACATATTTATAGAAATGTTTCTCTCAGGACGCTCACCTCTGTCCTTAAATTATCATCTTGCACGCCAACAACAGTCAGATTGGAGGAACTAACACGTCCTCCCACCACCATGCAGTCATCTCTAATCACATTGGATTATTCAACAGGAAAATAAAATACAATGCCACAGAAAAAAAAATGTAATGAATTAATATTTTGACAGATTGCATGAATATTTGAATTTGAATGCTTTAAAAATCAGTCCTTAAAATATTTATTTTATCAGTGATTAAAAGATATCAATAAGTTTTAACAGATATTAAATTATACTTTGAAAGGCACTGTACATGCCAAATCAGATTTCCTTCTGTTGTTAGGCATTAGTTGTGCCTGTCTGTATTTAATTTCTTCTATTGTTGTGCATTAGTTGTGTCTGTCTGTATTTAATTTTTTCTATTCTTATGCATTAGTTGTGTTTGCCTGTATTTAATTTCTTCTATTGTTATGCATGAGTTGTGTCTATTTCATCTGAAAGAAAACAGCTTCTTTTCATCATACTGCATTTTTGTCTTCATTTGTAAAACAAAAATAATTTCCCCTTTTCCTTACCTCTATAAAGTAACAGTTCGAAATGATAGATGCGTCAAAAGTATCAAACATACAGCAATGAGTGTTCCTGACCCACCCACTTCCCATGACTTCTGTCAGCAAGATATGTAATGAATGTGATCTCAAGATCTGAACCTAAATCCAGGGGTAAACTTTTGATATTAGTGATTTGTAATATTGATCAATATGTGTTGTGAAATGAGGTAGTTGAACACAAATGTCTAGACTACTAAGCCGGGCCAGTAAGGTCATGTCTGTGAGGGGATGTCTCCAAATGAGCTCAGTAAATGCCAGGAGTTATTTTTTATTCTGAACACAATTAGTAAAAGCGCAATGTTAACAAAGGTAAATTATACAGTATGGTATATATAAACAAGATAGTGTCGAGTCTCGCGCTGCCTGCAACCTTTATACTGTGACCCACAAAGGGACAAATAGTATGAGATAATGTGGTGTGGCCCTCGATAGGCATTTGAGGTGCTTTGAGAACCCCTAGATGAAATGATAAGTTACGCCAGTTAAAATCTTATCCTAAATAAAGCAATCAAAATGATAAGTAATTCTGAGATTTTTACCAAGCTTGACAAAACAAGAATTTAGCAATGTATATAACAAAACTCAACTAAAATGACTAAAGCCCTACATTTACTGTAGCAGCCTACACTCACTACAAGCACTACATTTACTGTAGCAGCCTACACTCTCTCCAAGCACTACAGTTACTGTAGCAGCCTACACTCTCTCCAAGCACTACATTTACTGTAGCAGCCTACACTCTCTACAAGCACTACATTTACTGTAGCAGCCTACACTCTCTCCAAGCACTACAGTTACTGTAGCAGCCTACACTCTCTCCAAGCACTACATTTACTGTAGCAGCCTACACTCTCTACAAGCACTACATTTACTGTAGCAGCCTACACTCTCTACACAGATATCAACTCAAGCTGAACACTGACATGGAAAACTTTTTGAGTGGAAAAGCATTGTGATACAAGACTAAGTGATACAAGACTGTCATTACGTGATACAAGACTATGATCAAGTGACTAATAAAATCAACATGCACCCAAAATGTTTGTATTACATGCTCATTTAAAAACATGTTATAAATTGAATGAACACTGTCAAAGGAGATCTTATATCAACTTTAAAACACAAGTTAGTCTAAAACAAACTTAACTGACTGGATGAGCTTTCCTTTAATTTAAATTTGAAGCTCAATATCTCCACTATGAAAATAGCTTATCTAAGTCTTTTTTAATCATTAAAATCAAATGAATGGAAATGAAAAAACTATTTAAATAATTTAAAATATAAAAATTATACCCCATTGTTCATGAAAAAAAAAAATGTATTTATGATTTTTTTTAAACTTATTTTCCATCAACTTAAAAATGTAATTTCCAGAAAACATTCATATAAATCAAAGAAAACTTGAAAAATAATTGCAAACCAATAATTGTTTATAGTCTTCTGTAATTTAGCTCAAAACTTCCAGAGTAGACTACAATTTAAAGATTAAACAATTTTTGAGTCAATGCTCATAGTCAACAAACACCACTCAACACTAAAATTATTTTAAAGCTCAGCTGCCAGCCTTTAAAATGTTACAATGTCCTCAAGCTAACCATAGGTTCAGAATATAATGCATTCACCCCACTGGTTTTAACATGTTACAATGTCCTCAAGCTAACCACAGGTTCATAATAATATTATGGTTTTAACATTTTTTTGTATTCAACTTCTTTGGTGCTGAGTGATGAAACAAGCATAGAATGGATAGTTTAGAGAGTACAGTGATTTCTACATTCTTCTGAGGGACTATCATCTTATGAGGTTGACCTATTTCACTTTCAGACTGATGTACCTTTCACCTCATAATGCTTGGAAAACAAGGAAAGCTAAGTCAAGAAAGCAACATCTCCTGAATGTTCAGAGCACATATCAAAACAAGATTCTGTCCCCTGAATATGACTATTTATAGCCTTAATGTTTCCCTCCCTAAAGCAGACTACCAGCGGTTCATTTGAATGGGAGGGTTATTTTAGGATGGGAAGAGAGACACACAAATACACTCCAATTCTTTAAGAACTCTCAAAATTCCTCAGTTCTTATGCTCTCTCACATCAGTATGAAATGATAAGCATAACTAACATCAGTATGAAATGATAAGCATAACTAACATCAGTATGAAATGATAAGCATAACTAACATCAGTATGAAATGATAAGCATAACTAACATCAGTATGAAATGATAAGCATAACTCTCACTTTCTTCTTGAATTTCCAACTGCCTATAAAAGTAAATGCTTATTCCCCCATACCTCTTACGGTCATGTAAAAAGCTTGTGCTGGTCAGCCATGTCAAAATGTCATGTAAAAAGCTTGTGCTGGTCAGCCATGTCAAGTTCAAGGAATACTAAGATGAAATTAGGGCTGAGGAGTCATTGAAGGAATAAGAATCCTGACTGAACAAATGTTCAGATTCAATTGACTAATTTCTTAAGGCTATGTTTAGTGATGTCAGGCTGTGGTGGAAATATCACCACCTACATCTGTAATGTTTATAATACACTTTATAGACCCACAATTTATCCTGACTCCCCAGCCCTGGTTTGGAAGTCCACAATTGCGATGCTTTTGGTAGAAGCAATATCAAACTGGCATACAAACTAACAATTAAGGCATATTTAAATCTGGAATAAAAATATGTCTGCACATCACAAAAGTGTCTTCTTTTTTTTTTAAATTAACAAAGATTACCATTAACTATTAGACATTCAAACCATTCTTTTAAGTCCAAATTCAAAATGAACCAATATAATTTCTTTCCATACCTCATTATCCCAAGTCTTGATCTCTAACCAATTATACATTGAGCCACATCACTCTATTTTAACAACAACCAACCTCTGGTTTTCTGTCATAACTTTCAAGAACTGACAAAATTTTCCTTTTCGCTAAAAACATTTTTTGAAATCTTAAATTCCTAATCTGTTTCCGACAAATAGCTAAAAAATATGACTATTGAAGGATCAGACCCATATTTGAATATTTGTTGCATTAACATGAACATATAACATGAACATATGTTCATATGATTCAGTCCCAGACTTTCCAAAATATTCATAATGACTATGTATAAAAGAGGTAACTAAATAGATGCCTAAATTGACCAATCCAAGGCATAAGGGAAGGCAAAATTTTTTAGCAATCCGTACAGAGGTAGATCATGGCTGTCAGTAGGTCAAGCAAGAGATTTTTCACTTGAGTAAGAATCAAGACATCAGTCTTAAAAAAGTCCCATGCCATCATAAATAGTCATTCTCTGTCTTCAGTTAGCAATGAATGCTCTCCCTAAACTGACATACTGAGTCCAATGATTAAAGTTGGTCCTTCATATTTCACGGGTCTGCCGTCTAAGGACGGTCGGCCTTCGAAGCCGACGGGGCACCTCAGAGGTTCCAGGTGGTTTCAAAGCTCATACGATTGCTGGCCAGGCTGCCTCGACTGCCGTGGTAGGAAAACTGCTCAAAATAGGGCAGCGTCTCCATGTCTTCGGCAATGGGAACCAAAGCATGGTGGTGTGACATGCCCACGGGTGGGGTGACGTTCACGGCCTCCCCCGTAAACACTTCATCAAAGTAGCGGGTATCTGTTTCTGATGTCACTTGTGGCTTGAAGGGTGGGGTTATCTGGTGGTCGGTCAGGTGTAATTAAAAAAAATGTTCCCAAATGATTGAAGAAGAATGACAAGTTTGAAAAAAAAAGATGACAAAAATGAATGGGTCGGTGAAAGAGAGTGAAATTAAAGACTGATTAAAATTAGTGTAATAGCTGAATTAACAGGGGCCTCATCTTTGACAATGCATGTAGCATGATGCACAAAAACTGATAAGTGGAGCTAACAGTGGTAATATATTAACAAAACCGAACAAAAATTATGTCATTATCTCCTAATTATCATAGATCATTTTTTCAATATCCATTGGAATTTGGTCTTAAATAAGTTCATAAATTATACCCACAAAAACTATATAGGGTGCTTATTCTGAAACTACTCAAGAAGAAGTACTTATTTTAATAAGATCCAATATATGGCAGCACACACATTTCTGTGTAATGATTCATACTTTAGAGCAGTGTTTCCCAACCCTTTTTGTGCCATGCCCCACCTAAGCCTTTCTAAAATCCTATATGCCCCCTTATGTTTTATATATATATATATATATATACACACACATAATTTTTATATTCAAACATTGAATAGAATCTCACTAAATGAAAACTAAATGACGGGTTTTAGGAAGAAGAAAAAAGGATTATGAATGAATAGTACATTTTTAAAACATAAAATGGAGAAATTTAATTCATGTGAAAAATGAAAGATTTTCTCGAATATTTTATTATTTATCATTTCATTTATTATTCATTATTTTTATCATTTTAAAGCAGCCATTTTTTTGCCTATCATATTAGGAGCAGCATCGGCAGCACAAGATATTATATTTTATTATTGATTGGTATATTATTGACATCTAAGTAACTTTTTAGCTCATATATATCTGTGGCAGTAGTGGTGCTTTCTAATGGTTTACAGAATGACATTTCTTTAGCTCAATTTCCTTTATCAATAGATCTTAAGTTATCGGTACGGCCTCACTGTCTCTTTCATCCCTTTGCAATGGCAATTTCTTGTTTTCAGCTTTTCAACAAGTTGTTTTTCTTCACTCATTTCATCTTTTCATTTTTGCTAACAGTATTGTTACAGAGTGACTTAGCTTTCACGTCTTTGTCATCTTTCTCCAGAACAGTTTTAAGAAATGCTGATATTGATGGTTTGATTAAATTCCTATATTATGATTTTTCCCAGGTTTAACTATTAGTAAAAAAATTTCATAAGTAACCTCAAGCGAACGATTGACAGTTGCAGTATGAGTAGTAAACAGTTGCAGTATGAGCAGTAAACAGTTGCAGTATGAGCAGTAAATAGAGACTTTTAGGTTTTTCTTTTTCCATTAATGTTTGAAACTATGTTTGGCCAACCAATGCGCATCAAGATGGTTGGTTTTCAAATTCTAGACAGCTCGTTTTTTAACAGCCCCCCTAAACAATCAAATTGCCCCCCCCCCCCACACCAACCCTTTGTGGGGCGTCGCGGCCCCCATGTTGGGAAACACTTGTTTGAAACTATGTTTGGCCAACCAATGCCCATCAAAATTGCTGGTTTTCAAATTCTAGACCGCCCGTTTTTTAACAGCCCCCCTAAACAATCAAATTGCCCCCCCCCCCCACACCAACCCTTTGTGGGGCGTCGCGGCCCCCATGTTGGGAAACACTGCTTTAGAGTTTGGAACTTTGGAGGTTTTAAATTTTAATTGCAAATAAATATTATTTTAAAATTTCCATTAAATTGGTTAAAATTTAAGTTTTTGAAACACTGTACCGACATCTATCATAATAGAGTCAGAATAACTATGACGCGATGAAGTAGGCAGAATAACAAGTACAGATTTTAAATGACATTCTATATGGAATAAATAACGGTAACAATATTTTTAAAGCTTTGATCCCCAAACTCAAAATTTTGTCTTTGAGCAGACATAAATTCATTTCTTGATGAAGCTTCCTTCCCTTGCAAATGTACATAGTTGGGTTACTTCCCTTTAAAAATGTACTTTGGTTGGCTCATAAAATACTTGAGTCCAGAGAAATCAACCAGAGTCCAACAAAAATTAAGTCTGGATAAATGATATACTCATATATGAATTTCTATATAATATTAGCCGTATCATTATAGTCTTAAAGTAAAGGTTTTTTAAACCTATAAAAAAAATACTAAATGTAAAAAAAGTGCAATTCTTCCCTTTAAGTTATTTCTACATAAAAGGTAAAAATGTTTATAAAACAAAGATGAGACCCTTATAAAAGGGGAATAACAATGAAGTACTTGTATTAGTGTAAATGTTGGAGCACATGAAAAATTGAAGAAAAAAATGAGAGATGCTGATTGATGTGAAATAATATTATGTCAAATATTTATTTATAAGGATTATTTAAAAGGCCATGTAATGTACAAAATAAACAATCTCACTTATGGTATCTTCAACTAAGAATTTTTATTTAACTAGCTCATGATGACATTAAACTTAAAGAAAATACAGCGTTCATTAAATGTCAATAACACTAATTGGGATTCTTATAAAGTGCACTTAAATGCACGTTTTGTCAAGTAATATGAGCAGATGGGAAGTTCCGGCATTGCATACGCCATTGTTTGGTTAAAACTATAACTAGTTTTACTATAAAATGCATTGACGGTTTTCTGTTGTTAAAAATCATAAAATGTAACAAATTAAAATTCTCTAACTAATGGGGTTGTAAATGGGAAATAAACAAATTCATGTTTTGGAAGGGTTAGAGGCAGAAAATGGTTTGAAGCTTTAAAACACTTTAATGTAATGTAATGTAATGTAAGGTTGTAGTCGTTTTTTTTTTTATATAAAACAAAATAAGCTGCATAAAAAAATAATTTAAAATTCCTTTAGCAAAATGGCTTAAAAAATCGCAGGGACTGGGTTAGTGCAGTTTGTGATCTTATGAATGACAAAATACTTGCAGAAATATTGCAAACATAAAAGTAGACATTTGAGTGATCAAGTGATAGCTGACCTACACTGTGGTTACTTAACAAGTCATTTGACTTGACACCTCTGCCTCTGACTTTCAATAGCATAAATAAATGAGAAAGAGTGAAATGCCTCTACAACCAATGCTGGGACAGATAAATGCACAGAAATCATTGGCAGGGACCAACCTTTGGAGGAATTATACCCTAGATCAGACTAACATCCACGTTAAAGTAGCTTATTTACTCAAATTTCCCTTATGTCTGACTACTCCCAAGTTAAAGTAGCTTATTTACTCAAATTGCCCTTATGTCAGACTACTCCCAAGTTAAAGTAGCTTTTTTACTCAAATTTCCCTTATGTCAGACTACTCCCAAGTTAAAGTAGCTTTTTGACTCACTTTCCTTCACTACTAAAAAAAAACGGCCCAATAGATATCTCATCAACAAATTAAATTTAAATCCTTGATTTAATACAGAAAAGATTTCAAGCCTTATGGAGCAAGTAAAATTAAAATTGCTTCAATAAACATTCATTTAAACAACATAGAAGAATTATTCTATTGATTCAAGTCCTCATTAAATGTCCATGTTCCCTAAGGCCATGACTAACATCTTACTTGAATGTCAACTATTTCTCTAACAGATATTTTCTAGCTTCAAAGTGCCAATGGCCAGGGGACGTCGAGGTGCCTTATCCTTTCCATTCTGCCCTTTAATGATACCAGGATCTACTTACTAGGACATGTTACCAGAGATCTTGATGTATAATTTCAAAATGAGGTACTAGTTTACACAACAAAATATTTAAATAAATCTACTTATATGGACACTATCAAAGACATTCAATATAAAGTTTCCTTTTTTCTGATGTACTAAGGTATTTTAAGTGAACTCATTATGACTACTAGTGACAGTGTTAAACAAAAATGTCAAAACTTAACATGTCTAACAAACAACTAAAACAACTTCCATTAATCAAGCCCTCCTTAAAGCACTTCTAGTGTCAGCATTAAAGACATAACTTGACATAAAATATTTTGCTTGACACACATAAAAAAAAAAGATTAACTTTTGCGTTGTGAAAATTATCCTCTTGAACAAAAAAAGTGTTTAGTTACTGAAACGCTACAGTGATAAATTTACACTGACGATCAATATAGATTTAATAAGGCGGCAGCAGTTCATTTTAATATATAAAAGAACTTGTTGACATGTTTTAGAAAAGATTTTCTAGAAATGTTTTTGTAGATTTTCTAGGAATGTATGTAGATTTTCTAGGAATGTTTGTTAATAACTGATAAAGAGTTGCTGCTTTATGTTAGATTAAAAGTTCAGAACATTTTATATGTTAATCCTTATCACAGTAATGCACACTTGTATCTGAAAAAGCTAATTCAATTATAGTAGTGTTTTTCAGCATTATCCGCCCTCGATAAAATATTTTAAATTCTGGATAAAAATTTGATATCCGCCCTCAATAAAATATTTTAACTTTTGGATAAAAATTTGAACTGAGGTACCTACTTTTTCCAAACTTAAATAGTTATTTGAACTTATTGGTACCGTTATTTACAGTATAAAAACAACTGTTGTGACAGGTTATTTATTGTGATCTAGCAAATAAATAAAAATAGTGCTCCGATCGTAGATTAAATATAACTAAAATGCTCTTCATCCACAGATTTGATAAGAAATTCAGAGCACTTTTAATTTGTTCTTTTTCCAAATTTAATTTAAATTAAGCCCAAAAAGTAGAATCTAAATTTTTTTAATGTTTAAAATGTATAACAAAATATTTGTTAAGGTAATGATTAATTATGCTACCAGAGAGTTTCAAAAATACTTAGATGAAATTTATTTAAAAAATGATCAAGCAAAGGAAAAAAAGATCATTCTGTATAAAAATTCAAGTTCCAACTCATTAAGTTGGGTCCACAGGTGTTTTTATTGTGTAGTTTTAGTGCTAAAACATCAAGTGTCTTAGATGTGATACTTTCCCTTGTACCCATTTTTTTTACTACCCTTTTTTTTTTATTATGAGCAAAAATCTGCATATGAAACTTATCAAGATTTGCAAGTGTATACCTTAGATTTAATAAATTGGACAGTTGAAATTACTTGAAAAGACAAAGATAGGAATGGAGACAAAAATTCAAACTCTAAAAGCTGATTAAAAAAACTGCACCAATAATGGAAACAAAATTATGGAATCAAATAAGGATGACGCAAATAGAGGCAAAAAAAAACATATATTTTTTTTTTTTTTAAAGAAAAAAACCTGTGCTTAATGGGGAGACAACTGAGCATAAAGCATAAACTGTAATGATTAAAGAAATAGATTATATTCACCTTTTTGGCAACTAAATCTTCCCAGTTGATGGAGGCAAAGAAAGGATGACTCTTTATTTCTGCCACATCTGCTTCACCACCACCAAGCCTGAACAAACAGATTTTATGTTTATGAGATTGGACTTTGGGCATTCTCATATTGTAATAGCCATGTGTGTGCGTACGCGACTCATTAAAGAAATGCAATTTCTTATTATCATTTCATTTATACGCATGTAAACTGCTCTTCCTAAACAACATTATTTTAGCTTCCATTATCAATGGAAAACTTATTTCAACATTCTAAAGCTAGGATAAAGTGGTGAAAGGATGAATCGTGGATTTGAAGGGCTTCAAGCAGAAATACTAAATATGTCCACTTCAGGTAGAATTTAACATTGAGGGCCGATTTAAACATTTATACTAGATGTCTGCTTTCAAAGATTTTGAAAAATAGGCTATTATTTTAAATAGAAAAAATATTGATCCGCTTTGAATAGCTTCTAAAAACTAAGATATTGATTCGCCCACATTATTTATGCCAGATACTCCAGGTAAGTGTTATAGTTAGCATCTCACCTTTGCTTTGGCTTTTTCGCCAACAAACCACTGAGCAATGTTTTGGCCTCCTCTGAGAGATTCCTGGGGAACTTGACATGCTGCAGTAGAATGAGCTCAAAGAGAACATCATGGTCTTTGTTGTAGAAAGGTAGTCGACCACACATCATCTCATACATGACGACACCTGTACCCCACCAGTCAACTGCCCTACCGTAGTCATTGTCCTCCAACACCTGGTTTCAAGATACAAGTGGTTAATAACTTAACAGCGTGTTTGAAAACACATTTTAACAAATTTAAATCGACATTTGAATATTTCATGGCATTTCGCAAAGATTTCAAAATCAAGTTTTTAATGGTCTTATCTTCGTAAAGCTTACACTTACTTTTTACCCGTTAGTTAAAGTACACTAAAAAATAGTCGTCTTTCCGTCTGGTTATTTAAAAGTGTAGAGCTAAAGAAGTCGGTGTGCCAAGTTGGTCTCAAAATGGGCACGTTAACTATTTTTTTTTTAAAAACACACCTCAGGTGCCAGGTATTCTGGTGTACCACAAAAGGTGTTTGTGCTTGCACCAAAAAACATCTCTTCCTTACACAGACCAAAGTCAGCTATTTTGATATGGCCATCTTTATCGAGCAACAAATTTTCAAGCTGTGAACCAAAACATAGATTATTGACAGTATTTATGTATAGATAAAGCAAGACACAAATTATTCCTCAATAATACCTTTTTTTTTTTAATCACTGATAAAAAGCAAAATATGACAATGTCACAAATAGTTTTTCAGAAATAATTATAATATAGTCAAAATTATCTTTCAATTAAAAAAAAAAAATAATCACATCAATGGCAATTAAAAACTGCTTTCGGGGGTCACTGAAGAAAGAAAATCAGCACCAATTTTTCTAAATAACAACTGAGATCTATTTAACAATTTAGATTTGTCCCTACAATAATAATCAAGATGGTGTACCTTTAAATCTCTGTACACAATATTATTTTCATGAAGATAGCCAAGGGCAGAGACAATTTCTGCCCCATAAAATTTTGTTCTTTCCTCTGAAAATACCCTTTCTCTAGACAGATGAAAAAACAGCTCTCCACCATTCACATACTCCATGACGAAGCAAAGTCTGTCTGCCGTTTGGAATGAATATTTGAGTTGCTGCCGAGAGAAAATGCAGATCTTACAGTTGAAGTACTAATTAAATATTCTACCCATATCTATAAAAGAGCCTTTTAAATTTTCAAAAAGCAATAAGATTTAACAGAAGACTTTGATTACTTGTGTTTATGTTTAAGAGATTAACACGCTGGTAGATAACAACACAGAATGCAGCTGGACTCACTGTGAGAAATGGGTGATTTGTTGTCTGAAGAACTCTGTTTTCTGTAAGCGTGTGAGCAACTTCATCCTGTTGGTTTCAGCAAGGACAAAAAAAGGAACTTACTATTTCAAAGCAACCAAATTAAATATCAAAGATTTATTTGATAGATTATAGATCTACCCTAAACAATTTATTTGACAGATGATAGATCTATCTTAATCAAACTAGAAAAATGTCCAAACTTATTTACAACTATGACTGGGAAAGAGTTCTCAGGATAAATGCGTAAAGCACAAAAGTGGTACGCTTAACAATTTTAAAAATCTGACTTTTTAAATTATAACAAATGACAGAGGATTCAAATAAAATTCTCTGCTTTAAAATGAGAGAAAATAATGTTAACTTGATAAAGTAATAAGCATCACAACTCTAAAATACTAGTGATTTATTTTATTACATTTTAAAAATATAATCCAGTTAAAAAGTTGTAAAAAATTGAAAGTTAAAATAAGCATACATACTTTGGCGATGATGACAGCTTTTTTCAAAATTTTAATGGCATACAACTGGTTGGTTGCCTTCTCTTTACACATAATCACCTTCCCAAATGTTCCTTTTCCGAGCACTTTAAGGAAATCAAAGTCATCCAGAGACTGCAGATTTAAATTATATGGTTACACTCATGATGTGCAGAAATATGTGAGGACAGAACAGAGTGACGTCAAATTAAAATAAAGTAAATATGAAGGGGACAAATTTTAATAGACTCTAATTACAATCAAATGACAATGGCAAACGAACTACCGTATTCAAAGAGTTATAGAACTTACCACTTTCTTTTTATGTTCCAGAATGTTTGCTGCAGGGGTTTCTTCTGTTACTTTGAGTGTATCTGACACAGATCCAATAGCTTGAATCCATTCATCCCTGAAAGACATTTAATGCACAGAGATCAGTCATCTTAAAAATGTGTTCAATAAACTTTCGAATGAGTAATAATATAATAAATTCTTTAAAAACTATCAATTTTTTCTCATTTATTTTTTATTTTAATCTATTGTCTTGTTTTTAATCCCATAATGTCTACTTTAGTTAATGTCCAGTTCATGTTTTTAATCCCATAATGTCTACTTTAGTTAATGTCCAGTTCATGTTTTTAATCCCATCATGTCTACTTTAGTTAATGTCCAGTTCATGTTTTTAATCCCATAATGTCTACTTTAGTTAATGTCCAGTTCATGTTTTTAATCCCATAATGTCTACTTTAGTTAATGTCCAGTTCATGTTTTTAATCCCATAATGTCTACTTTAGTTAATGTCCAGTTCATGTTTTTAATCCCATAATGTCTACTTTAGTTAATGTCCAGTTCATGTTTTAAAAAAACGCTAATGTTTTAAACAGTTCATTTATTTATAGTTTATTTGGGTGCACACTCTTGCTTCATAAAGTTGGACCCAAACATTTTGGAGAGAGAGCACTTATCTACATCTGGAGCTAGGTCTCCTACCCGAAAGTCAATGCGGTTTCCGGAAAAAACGCGGAACCATCGATATGGTGTTTGCTGCTAGACAGCTTCAAGAGAAATGCCAGGAACAAAATACAGACCTATATACTACATTTATCGACTTGAATAAGGCCTTTGACAGGGTCAATAGAGCTGGCTTGTGGAAAATCATGAAGAAATACGGATGCCCAGACAAGTTCACAAACATCATCCGTCAGCTGCATGATGGTATGATGGCCCGAGTACAGGACAACGGTCAATCATCTCCAGCATTCCCCGTCACAAACGGTGTAAAACAGGGTTGTGTTCTTGCTCCCACACTCTTCAGTATTATGTATTCCGCAATGCTGTCTGATGCGTTCAAGGACTCCACCATGGGCTTGCCTATCCGGTTTCGTACTGATGGATCAGTATTTAACCTTAGGAGGCTTCAAGCTAAAACCAAGGTCAAACATACCCCTATCAACGAGCTTCTGTTTGCAGACGATTGTGCCCTTAATGCTCCATCAGAAGCCGTCATGCAACACAGCGTTGATATCTTCTCAGAGGCGTGCAATAACTTTGGCCTCACAATCAACACAAGGAAGACTGAGGTGATGTATCAGCCAGCTCCCAGTAAGCCCTACGTTGAACCCAACATCATCATCAGTGGACAGCGTCTCAACCCGGTGGATAAATTTACTTACTTGGGCAGCACTCTCTCTAGATCTGTCGTCATGGATGATGAAATGAATTTGGCAGGCTCCGCAGCACTGTTTGGGACAGGAGAGGTATCAGTCGTGAAACAAAGCTCAAGGTCTATAGCGCAGAAGTCCTCCCGACACTGCTTTATGGATGTGAAACGTGGACTGTCTACCAGCGTCACGCCAAGAAACTGAATCATTTTCACACTACCTGCCTCAGGAAACTCCTCGACATCAGGTGGCAAGACAAAGTCCCCGACACCGAGGTCCTCGTTGTGGAAAATCATGAAGAAATACGGATGCCCAGACAAGTTCACAAACATCATCCGTCAGCTGCATGATGGTATGATGGCCCGAGTACAGGACAACGGTCAATCATCTCCAGCATTCCCCGTCACAAACGGTGTAAAACAGGGTTGTGTTCTTGCTCCCACACTCTTCAGTATTATGTATTCCGCAATGCTGTCTGATGCGTTCAAGGACTCCACCATGGGCTTGCCTATCCGGTTTCGTACTGATGGATCAGTATTTAACCTTAGGAGGCTTCAAGCTAAAACCAAGGTCAAACATACCCCTATCAACGAGCTTCTGTTTGCAGACGATTGTGCCCTTAATGCTCCATCAGAAGCCGTCATGCAACACAGCGTTGATATCTTCTCAGAGGCGTGCAATAACTTTGGCCTCACAATCAACACAAGGAAGACTGAGGTGATGTATCAGCCAGCTCCCAGTAAGCCCTACGTTGAACCCAACATCATCATCAGTGGACAGCGTCTCAACCCGGTGGATAAATTTACTTACTTGGGCAGCACCCTCTCTAGATCTGTCATCATGGATGATGAAATGAATGGCAGACTCGCAAAAGCTAGTGCCCTATTTGGCAGGCTCCGCAGCACTGTTTGGGACAGGAGAGGTATCAGTCGAGAAACAAAGCTCAAGGTCTATAGCGCAGCAGTCCTACCGACACTGCTCTATGGATGTGAAACGTGGACTGTCTACCAGCGTCACGCCAAGAAACTGAATCATTTTCACACTACCTGCCTCAGGAAACTCCTCGACATCAGGTGGCAAGACAAAGTCCCCGACACCGAGGTCCTCGTGCAGACAGCCCAGGACAGAGCCAGATGGAGAGCTGCTGTCAAGAAGGGGGCTAAATCCCATGAAGCTAAGAGAATAACCACAGCTGAGACACGCAGGCTTGTCCGAAAGAGCAACATTAGGTCATCGCCTGAAGCAACTATTCCATGCTCACGGTGTCATAGATTTTTCCGAGCAAGGATCGGTCTAACAAGCCACCTAAGAGCTCACTGTAATCCCAACTCCCCCCGCCCGCCCCTAACCGGATGATTCGATGGTCCTTGTCGACTTCGACGGACGAACAACAACAACAACATCCAGTCTACACAAATCAAAATAAAATTTACAAATGCCAGTAAAAAAGATTTATTGGTAAATCCAAATGCTTAAATAGAAGTCTTCTAAATTGAGATGCTAAATAACCTATGAGAAAAAACTGCATATATTTACATCCAACACAAGCATAGAATTAAAAATTGAAGTTAATTTTTAAAATTAAAAAAATCACTTTAATAATTATAGCTACCATACTATTTGTATTTCTCCACTTTCAATTTTATCCCCAAAAAAATTAATTCAATTCTATGTAAAATAAGCATACCTTTCCCCAACAGACTCGACACAGAACATCCTCTCCACCTCTGTTGCCCATTGCCAGCACCTGATTATGAATGTGTGAGGCCTGGGTCTGTCCACCTTCATTAACATGCAGTCTGGAGATAAATTGGACATGAAAATGATTACCTTGAATTTTTGTGGAATTTATACAATTCTTGGAGAACAAGTTTCACATTGATATGAAAATGATTACATTGAATTTTGGTGGAATTTATATGATTCTTGGATAACAAGTTTATATGATTCCTGGATAATAAGTGATGATTGGGAGAATGAAAATAAAGGAAAGGTAAGTTTTTTTGGGTTTGTGACGTAATAAAATGTGAATGAGGTCGGTCTTCCAGACCCTTGATAAATGGATGCTACAAAACAAAAACTGAAACACTCCATCAATAAATCTTTTGCTTACAGATAGATTAAATACTGTTTATTACCTTTAACAGAAAACTTATTGAGTGGATCTTGCAAGTCATTGACCTCTGGTTTAGAGCGGAATCCTTCAAAAGAGCCATCTTTTCTCAGGATAAAGTATCGCTTTCTCCAATTTTTGATATGTTCTCCTGGATTACAAGAGTTGAGAAAAATATAGACGGGAGGGGGGGAGGACGAGAACATTTACAGAAATTTACACTGTACCTAGTTTATGCTGTTAAGTCTGCTTTTGAAACACATGAGTTCATATAACGCTAGATTTTCCCCTTTTCGTGCCCTTGAATTTCAACTTTTTTACTCTAAAAATTTTTTAAAAACATATTCTTAAATTTACAACAAAAACTCTATGTATGATATAAAAATATTTATATTAAAGGAATTTGATATATTTCTATAATCATCAAAAATTTAAACACAATTTTGCCTTGTTTTTTTAAATCATGCTTTATCAGAAATTCGTGAAACAAAGAATTCTTTTATCTAAATAACAATCACGCTACCGTTTTTCTTGTCGTCTTTTTTTTTAAATTGTCAATATAAAAATAAGCACACCCATTTTACTTTTCGCAAAGCAAAAACAAAAATATATTTTCATTTTTTTTTTAAAGAAAATATTAACCCATCTCAATTTTTCAAAATTAAATTTTCCAGTGTGATTAGGTTGTGAAATTTAAGGGTATACTTTAAAAAATGTACAAATATTTTGAGACGTATCTTGTGCTGCCTGGGGGAAATGACCAACCCCACCCCACACCCACCCCCCCCCTTCCAGATTTAAATAAAATTAATAAAATCTTCCACCGGAATGTATTCCCTTCCATACCAAAACTAACAATTTTCATTTCATATGGTTTGTTCTTATTTGGATGAGTTATAAGTAGATTAGTGAATGCCAAGACTATGGAGTTTCGCTGCACTGATTGACTTTAACAGCATTTTCTTATTAGAAGTATATTTAAAGGTTAAATTTTTATTACATTATAAATTTAATAAAGGTATATTTTTGGAATTAAAAAAAAAAAGGAAAACTTATTAAATGTTAAAAATACAAAGCTAAAATTTTTGTGTTTTATTAACAATTTAAAAAGCAATCAATTATATTTATTATTTTTACTTTTAAGAAGGGAGAAATACATTGTCAGTTTTGTAACGTGTGGTTATTAAATCAAAGAAATTTAAGAGTTTTGGCTAGCATAGACATTCCTCCTATGAGTCATTTGTGTGTTTATTTAGAACAAATTAATTTTAATTTTATTTCCCAATATTAACAATGCACTAAGAAACGCACTAAAAACAACTGATGTTTTAATTTTCCCGATAAATGTTATTACTATGTAATTCTTAGATCATAATTTTTCGATTAAATTTGGTGTCCATAACTTTTCAATTCAGATAAAATGCTATAGTTGTTACCGGGTACTTTAAATGTATTTGTAATTTATAATAATAATACGTAAACTTTTACTAAAATAAAAGCGAATTTATGTTATTTTATGCGCATTTATATTTATTGGACTTCCGTAAAATAATAGAAAATAACTATGCAGAGACGTAGCGAGGGTGTTTGGCGCCTCTGTAACTATGACTGTTTTTAAGAATAAGAACGTATCTAAATATTTTCTGTTCTTTAGCATTATGTCAGCATAGCTCATTCTTATATATATTATTATATGTTATATAAGTAATCTTTAGCCTAGGAAGATTGAGCTTGTCTCTTCTACATAAATTTAGTTTTTTAATGAGAGATACAATACCAAAAATACTAAGTGCATTTTGGATAATTAAATATATTAAACACCTTTCATGCCAAATTTGGTGGTTAAATCTTAATTAAATGAAAACATTTTTACCTCTTTTCCACAAATAGCCCTCCTTCACAACATCCATGTGGTCCACCTCAGCATTCATGGTGAACACTTCTGGCTAGGTCACCTGATAACATAAACAATTTTTTAAATCATCTCACAGACTTCTTACAGTTTTTCTCATTAAAATTATTCAAATAGGCCTTCTTGACAAAGAACTTAATTATATGATAAAAGCACATATTTTATTTATCAACGTGCCTATTGTGTCTAAGTCTTTGTGTCTAAGTCTAACAAATATTGGATGTAAAGCAGGTCATTTATTATTAATACAATAATGTTAAATTTATATAAGAGTTAAAAATACTTGACTAGAAATTTAAAAATGTTACAGTTAATTGAAGCTATTGAGCCTATTGACTGAAATGTAAGCAATATCAATATTCTTATAATTTTAAATAATTCTAAATTTAAATCAGATGTGGGCCCTAATCTACATCCAGACTGGTCCAGGTATTAAAACTTAATGATATTGACAATGAACTTGAGCCTAAGGTAAACTTTAAACTTACGCTAAGAAGCTAAACAAGGTTATGTCCCAAATCTATCATTATCATTGTACAACTGTTTAATAATATACTATATAGCCTTCTATTTCTAGATTCTAGTAGAATCTAGAAATCTAGGGTAGTCTAAAGCTGACTCTCTCAAATTATTACAGAAAGTATGGCAATAGTCAATAAATAATTACAAAGTGTAACAAAGTAAATGATTTTTTCCATTGGTGCATGCTGTCAGTGAACTCAGTGTCAGTGATTAAAAATATTAATGTAACGGACTATGTTTTCACATGAAAACAGAGAGGTAGCATGAGTGAACAGTGAATTGTGTTGACCATGTATTTTGAGATGCAAATGTGAACTCCACGTTTTTGGAGAGTAAAATTATGTTTTTGTCAGAGCGGTTGTTTTCCACGCTTTGCTGGTAATGAAGTATGAGTTGACTGATATAGTAGAGAGCTGAGTGCAGAGCAGTAGAGTCAGTAGCGTGAGAGCTGTGTGATTAGACAGTTGACAGTTTAGTGTGAGGACGTGTCTTTCTTAATGATGGAATACTATAGATATATATATGAAATTACATTCATGCAAGGATTATTTATTAATATTATCAATATAAAGTGTGTTCAATAAAGTACTGTAAGTTTAACCAGGATTCAGTATTCTTATTTGCGTGCCCGGATTATAAGTGGAAGAAAGAAGAAGCCTTAGTCGGCATCCTGAAATATCAACATAACATAAGTAACCATACTACTGACATAACCCACAGCATAAGAAATAAGCTCCCACGCCATGTCAGAGTAGGTGTGTTACAAATGGTGTCAGAAGCGGTGTAACGACGATGCGTTACAAATATTGTAAAGAAGTGTCAGAAATGTGTTACAGAACATTGAGTAACAACGATATATTTTAAAATTCGAGCGGAAGAATACAGCGAACGCCATTACGACCGTGTATCAATCAAGTCCGAGACGAGTTCACTACACACAGAGCTAGCCGACAATTGAGGTCAGTCACAGTCTCAAGAGTTCAGAGTTCAAAGCCAACTGGTACACGGCAACTAGCAGCATAAGGAAAATTTTCAAGTTATTTACAACTGTAGCAAAGATTTACTGTAAGCCTACATATTACAAGACCAACAGAAGTAGAAGTCTGACGTTATTACAGATGAGATGTGTGTATCAAGACATCGAAAGTAAGATTTCCCCAGCATAATCTTCACTTTATACAAGCCGCACAAAGCCTAGTGCGCATTTCAAGTAAAGTAATTCTTTAATTACTCACAAGTTCAACTGAATCGGAGAGAAAGTACACTATTTTCAATTGGATTATTACACTATTACTTCTATTACGCAAGGTACTTGCATTGGATTACTGAAGCAGTTTGTGTTGTAACTTTTTCATTGGATTATATAACTTTTGCATTGGAGTATTTACCCAAGTACACTTTCTACATAGAAGGATTATCGACTACACAGAGATCATAGCGTCACAGAGGAGCAGAGGTGACCAACTACAGATTTCTTTTGGACACTTTCACTTGGTATTTATGTATATAATTATTATGTGTTATGTATTGTATATAATTTAAGACTTTAAAAATCTACTTATATCATACTTAATTAGATTAAGTAAATTTTTTCTTTTTCTGTATAATATAAGTTTAATTTTAGAGTATACTGTAGGGACATCCACGGTGTTATCTTTCCTAGGGAAGTTTTTTTATTAAAACGGTAAAGGTTTCTTCTGGCCCTATTTATAACACTGTAGGATAATTTTGTGTTAGCTGTGAAGTCTAGTTTGTACATTGTCATAACTGTTGTTTTTAGTAGATCTTGTCATATTTGTGCTATTTGTCTTGTCATTGTTATACATATTGTCAACCTACTGTCATATTTTCTACTATCTTGTTGTCCATAAACTAAACAGTACTTTTGTATTTGTTGTCTCATTCGTATTCATGTAAACGTCTACATATCTGTATTTATGTTGTGAAGTAGACAATTTAATTATTTTAAATTTTTCTTACACTTATTTATAACTTATAATTCATGTTTCAACTTGCATTTGTGTATACATTCATTAACATGTAGATATATGAAAGATCGTAAACTATTTTAATTGATAACCAAAGAATAAGGAGATAACTGATATACTGATACATAACAATATAATTTTAGTTACTCACATTACACATAAAAAAATGGCAGAGTACTTGGAAATATTAGAAGTAGGTGAGAAGCTTGGCTTGAAGCAGGAGAAATTAGCCGACTTTGTAACTCGAGAAATGGACAAACTTAGGGAAAAACAAGACAAAGACAAAGAACGAGAAGCTAGACTGTTAGAGAGAAGCGACCTTAAACAAATAGAAGAAATGAAATTAAAAGAACAGGAAATGAAATTAAAAGGACAAAAAGAGATAGATGAACTAAATTTAAAAGGACAAAAGGAAATAGAAGAGCTAAAACTAGAAAGAGCTAGAATAGAATCAGGACAGCATACACCAACAACAAGCAATAGAGAAACCAATAGTACATACAAACCTAAATTTAGAGAATTTAATGAACATAAAGAGGAAATTATTAGTTATCTGTCACAATTTGAGAGCATCTGTCAGTCTTACAATTATAGAGAAGAGACTTGGGCTAATATTTTATTGAGCAGATTATCAGGGAAAAGCCTAAGTATTATTAATTCACTCAGTGAAGAACAAAAGAATAATTATAACTATATAAAGAAAGTTTTGTTAAAGTTCTATGGAAACACAGAAGACATTTATAGAAAAAATTTTCACAACATAAGACTAGAGAGAGAAATAGACCCTAACACCACCATATTCAATATTAGAGACAATCTTGTCAAATGGCTTGAATTAACTGAAATTGACCTAAATGATCCAAAGGCATTACTAGATATGTTTATCATAGACAAAATACTAAGAAATGCATCAGTCACTTTATTTTCATTCCTTAAAGAGAGAAAGATTAAAAATGAGCGTGAGTTAGTTGACTCAATCACAACATTTAAAGATGCTCACCCCAATGAAGAGCTAGATAATAGAAACAGCACACTAGCTTCTATTAGAAACACACCCAGTGATAGGGACAGTCAAAAACAAAACACATATCAAAACAGAAGATACCATAGCCTACCTGCCAGATGGCAAAACAATAAATTTCAGAAAAATTATCAAAATAATTACCAGACACCATATACTAATTATTCAAACAACAACAAATGTTTCTACTGTGGTATTCAAGGTCACAAAAAATATGAGTGTAGGAAATTACATAGAGATTTAGGACATTCACAACAATACTATCAGAGAACATCACCCAACAGTAGTCCAATTAAATACAACAGTACAAATAGGAGTAGACAACAATATAGAAATCAACCAAGTAATTACCAGAGACACAACACCAATCAAACAAATAGTGCACACAATCAGAATACACCTCATGAAACATCAGCTAGTATTTATCACACTGATGGAACACTCAAATTTTCACCAGCAATTTTAAACAATAAAGTAGTTAAATGTCTCAGAGACACTGGTTGTACAACAATAATTGTAGACAGAAAATTAGTAAATGACAACTACTACACAAATGAAAAAACCATAGTTATCTTAACCAACAATAATAGAATAGAATGCAGGAAAGCTAGAATCAAAGTTGATTGTCCATGGATCACAGGATCTGTAACAGCTGTCGTAATGGATAATCCAGTGTGTCCATTAATTATTGGCAATATAAAAGAACTAGGCAATAACACTAATTATCTAATAACAGAAGGGATAAGAGGAAGACATTTTAGCATGAATACAATACATAGCATATCAAGACAACATAACAAAGGAATTCTTAATAAAACATATACAGAACAAAAATCAGACAGGGCAAAACACATTTTTAGACTCAATTCAAGAAATATTCATCAACACTATAGACAGGCTGGAAAATTCAAAAATGAAATCAAAGACAGAGAAAACAAGTTTCAAGAAGAACATTACACAACTACAAATAACAATTTTATGGAAAGAGATAGACAAAGAGATAACAGATCACAATTGTCATTTTCTTCAGTGCGGAGAAATACTTAACATTCCATGTTAGCTAACCTAGCATAAAACTCTCTAATAAATCAATTATTAGCTGTTAAGAACAAAATTTTTTTCAAATATGGTAATTGTCAATACAGAACTATTGTATAAATTGTTTACATTCTTGGTCATCAACTTTTTCTTAAGATTAGACAATGACAATAACATTAAGGTTAAATTGAGCATGAAGATCATTAAAATACACATTCAACCATTTTTTTGATAAGACACTTGTACATATCAATTTTGTAAATGAATATCAGATTTCAACCAATTGTAAATTTGTTAATGCAAAATTTAAGGTTGTTACATTCATTTTGCAGTGTTTATTATTCATTAAGATGTTAATGTCACTTCACATTATCATACATAAAGATTTTAAGAGATTGTCATTGGTGATTTTTTTAATTTTTTGCCAGGGTAAATTATTCACTATTATGTGTGATATTAACAGTAAAAGGCTCTGTATTTCATAATGATGAAATGTTAATGTTGTTACATTTATTTGATTGATAGATGTGGGATTGAAATTTTCTAAGAGACATTATCATTATCTCAGCATATAATTTTTTGCCAAAAATTTTGTTGCACAAAATTTTTTCAGATGGGTGGGGCATGTAACGGACTATGTTTTCACATGAAAACAGAGAGGTAGCATGAGTGAACAGTGAATTGTGTTGACCATGTATTTTGAGATGCAAATGTGAACTCCACGTTTTTGGAGAGTAAAATTATGTTTTTGTCAGAGCGGTTGTTTTCCACGCTTTGCTGGTAATGAAGTATGAGTTGACTGATATAGTAGAGAGCTGAGTGCAGAGCAGTAGAGTCAGTAGCGTGAGAGCTGTGTGATTAGACAGTTGACAGTTTAGTGTGAGGACGTGTCTTTCTTAATGATGGAATACTATAGATATATATATGAAATTACATTCATGCAAGGATTATTTATTAATATTATCAATATAAAGTGTGTTCAATAAAGTACTGTAAGTTTAACCAGGATTCAGTATTCTTATTTGCGTGCCCGGATTATAAGTGGAAGAAAGAAGAAGCCTTAGTCGGCATCCTGAAATATCAACATAACATAAGTAACCATACTACTGACATAACCCACAGCATAAGAAATAAGCTCCCACGCCATGTCAGAGTAGATGTGTTACAATTAAAATGAATGTTCAGATTTAAAGGAAACAATGAGTAAGCTCAATATTCCAATAGATAGAGTGCCAGCAAAGCCAATCCCAAATTGAGGTGCAATATGCTTCTTTAGTCTGACTGAACCATGATTAATTCACTTATTTTTTTTTTACAGGACATTCCTTCAAGACTAAGAATATAAGTTAAGAGAATTTTTTTTTATAATTTTATAAATACCCCAGTTCACAGATGTTTGCTATTACTACTAGTAATAGTATTATTATTAGACTACAAATACTACAATATATTATATATTTCAGGCCTTTCAGACTGTTGTTATTCAATCAATCGGGAGAATCATGTTGAATTGAATGTTATCAATATTATTATTATCATGATTAATTTATAGTCCTGATAGTGATTATTCAATCTTTCCAATAATCATCATACTCATACTATACTCGTGTTAGTTAGTCACCAGTTGACTTAGTCTTTACCCCCCCCCCCCCACCTAATTGTCCGTGTTATGTGTGGGTCTGCCTACATGCCAAAAATGTCTCAGTCACTGATTCAGTCTTGGTTGAGTGCTGATGCCTCAGACATAATAAAAGTAAAACAGGATTAGTAGACTAGGCAGGGCTTGAGTCTAGGACTAGACAAGTACAGAGAGATCATCGATTCTTTCAAACAACTATAATTCTAATGTCGATTATAAAATTCACCAACCTCTGAAAGCCCGTGTTAATCCCCTTTAAGTGAATTTTACTTTTCATTTAGAAAACAATATCAATGAACAGGAAATATTAAACTGTTGACTTCCTCAACGTAACGCGAGTTCTCATTCTGCTTGAGACAGCACACAGGCCATTGACCCAGTTAATAGCCCGGATGTTTCAAAATAGGAATTGAACAATGTAGGAATACAATTAAACTCATAAGTTATTTAATCTAGAAGTATTCAGTTGAAAACATGGTAGACAACTTAAATTGGTGGTAATTTAAGCTAAAGAACAAACGGAACATATTTCATTTGAACAATCTTGATGTCATCTAAGAAAAACAAAACATTCAATGACACCCATTAAGCTGATATGTTCTGCGGTCTTTTCACTTTACGTTTGGCCCGTTTGGTACTCGTTTATAACTTGATCGCAGTCTCCTCCAAGTTATTTTTAACGTAATTTTATAACATATTATATGATATTAATAGAATTGGAGAATTTGCCTACTTTATAAAAAAAAGGAACAATATGAAAAAGGGATTTTCTAAAATATAAATTTTCATTTTATGTGTTTATTATGACTGTGAGATTGTCAGATTGTCATTCTAGGATTGGTCTAGTGAGCCACTCGTCGAAGTGTAGGACTTCATAGCTACTCCATTGTCTCGCGAAAACGGAAGGATGCCATATATATATATATATTATTGTCATTCTAGGAGTGGTCTAGTGAGCCACTCGTCGAAGTGTAGGACTTCATAGCTACTCCATTGTCTCGCGAAAACGGAAGGATGCCATATATATATATATATATATATATATATATATATATATATATCGAATATTATGACAAGTAGGCCTATAAAGGATAACTACATTTACTTTCACGAGGCGTCAAGTTGGCAGCATAAGAACCATTGATTTTGAAAGCAGTCTGGGAAAATTGACATCCCCGCGCATGGCCGCACCGTGGTGCGTCCCATATTCTGACTAATGATGTTTAAGTTGTGTCTCGGTGAATTCCCGACGGAACACAAACAACGCACGCCATCTCATTAAACCTTTTCACACCCCAGACACTTTTTCTTGACCACCCGGATCCAGGCAATTCCCGTGTCCCAAAAAGCGTTTCCTCCACCCTACACAATCTCAGGAACACATAATATATCCACAAAAAAAAACTTTAACAACATCCTTCATAATTACCCAACATCTCACCACTTATGACAAGCAATATCTCACCACTTATGACAAGCAACATCTCCGCACTTATGACAAGCAATGCCCCTCACTTATGACAAGCAACATCTCACCACTTATGACAAGCAACATCTCACCACTTATGACAAGCAACATCTCACCACTTATGGCAAGCAACATCTCACCACTTATGGCAAGCAACATCTCACCACTTATGACAAGCAACCGTATTCGGAAATTTGTTTGAAAGAAATTGGTCGACAGAAAATTGATCGACGGAAATTTGGTCAAATTTTTTTTTTTTTCAGTTCACACTTTAAAATTTTCGTCAAATTTCTTTTTGAACGCAATATACTATATAGTAAAACAAAATAATGCGTTCAAACAGAAATTTGAAGCAAACTTTTAACGTGAACTGAAAAAAAAGATTTGACCAAATTACCGTTTGATAAAATTTCCGTAGGCCTACATCAATTTTCCGTCGACGAAATTTCTTTCGATCAAATTTCCGGATACGGTCCGTACTTGGTATCCAGAAAATCTGTTAAGAACTGCAAGTAAACTAAAAGGTGTTTTATTTAGAAAAAAAAATAGAAAAGGGCGGGGGGAGTGGGGCACCTTATTCAGGCTTCGCTCAGGCGCAACTTTTACTCGGCACCGCCCTGACTCGTATTAATCACACTTTCATTTTGTACTTTTCATCCAAATTTGACAAACAAATCTCCTAAATTTTATATTGACATAAGGGTAGGCTAGGTGGAAAGTCCCGGAAATGTTCAAAACATCATATTGTTCATTTCAATAAAGATAGAAACAAGTACACTAATGTCACTAAGTAAGTAGAGCATGCAGTGCGCAGTTGTGGCAGTAAAGAAATTTACTTTCTGCTTTTAAGTTTGCTAATCGTTCTGTGACTTGTGACTGTTAATTAACAGTTTACTAGGCTAAGTAGTAAGTAGGCTATAGACTATACTATACAGTACTATACACTTAAAATAATTGCTATAACCGGCGAGGCTCGTGTACATTTAAATTCGGTACTTTTTTTTTTTTTTGTGCAGCCTAAATTTATTAAGTTCTATTATTTTTATTTGTCTTTTTTTTTATTATTGACAATATTATTGATGATATTGATATTTTTAAAAAGTCAGTGTCAGACAATATTCAGTTTTTTTTTTTTTTTTTTTGTGCAGCCTAAATTTATTAAGTTCTATTATTATTATTTGTCTTTTTTTTTATTATTGACAATATTATTGATGATATTGATATTTTTAAAAAGTCAGTGTCAGACAATATTCAGTAATACTCAGTACTCAGTGTATAAAGTATAATGTACGTAACGTTGTTAGGTTGAAATGAGCCAAGTCATTCGAACTAATTGGAAATACTAGGTGTGTTGCGGTTGTGGGGATGCTAAATTCGGCAAAATTATTTAAGAATAAGAAAGTAAATGAGTACCGGTATGAGTATGATATTCAATGACAATGACATGTAAATTATTGGCCTGCTAGTGCTAGTACTAAAATGCTAGTCAACAGCAAGCAGTCAATTGGGTTTTATTATTTTAAAAAGATCTGCTCTGTGAGGACTTTCATTTTTTCATTGTTTCAACTTTAAACTTAATTTACTTTTTTGTTTCATAGAAAAAGAATCTCCAATGACAGAGATATAGTATATAGTGATAGTGGGTGGAACCAGACCCAGAGGACCATATTGACCTTATAACTTATAATATAATTATAAACTCATGATGGGTAGAGAACACTCTTGATTTGTTCCCACTCATTTTGAGAGATCAAACATATCAGATTTGAGGTTTAAGCAGGTGTTTCTACGTCCTTTGTTTTATCAGTATGCCTTCTCTAATTTTTTTTTTACTTTCTTCAAGATCACCCATCACTGAAGAACTGATCACAATAACATCAATGCAGGAGAATATTTGTGTATATATAGTGAAACCTGTGAATAGCAAACTATGAAATTATGCTGGAACTGTCAAATGCATAACTCATGACCAGCTTGGACTGATTTTTAAAGATAAACACCCAGATATAGGGCAAATCCTGTCAAATTGAAAATGTGTCAATATTTCTTCGAGAAAAAAATCGTATTTTCCCATTTCGAATAGAAAATGCCATGCCGCAGTAAATCAAGCAAGTGTTTGACATAGATCTTTTGCTTCGCTAATCAGTGTAACATTGTGCCATGTGTTTCTAAAAGCAGGATAAAATAATGTGTTGATAGAAGTTTTTCTATAAGACTGAGGGTTGTGAATGAAATGTGGGTTTCTTGTGTAAGTGTAAATTTTGCCAACACATAGTGAAAGCAAAGCAATCAAAGTGGCTGTACATAACAGAATTTCCAAATAATTTACATGTAAATTTTTAATGTAAATGGACTGCATGTATAATGTTTAAGCACAATAAAATCTTGCGTAGTTTCAGAATTATTCTGTGGTTATTACATAGACCTATATGTAACTATATGAACTTTCTGTTTTGCTTATCATTCCATGTGCAAATGTTTTCTTTCAAATTATTTTGGATGATCATTATTCCAGCTAAATCTGCATATAGCACCATCCCAGCTAAAAGGACCATTTTTTGTTTGGTCCCAGGGGTTTGTGTTTTTCATAGGTTTCACTGTGTCTGTATATAGCTTTATCGTCATGTTTGTTATAATCCTACCATTTTTATCATTTGTATATGTTAACAACGACTCCAGTAATTTAAAAATTATTTTTTGAATAGAAATGCAAGAACCAGTTTTCAGTTCTGAGAAACAAGACAAGGAATGGAGTCGACCGAATCCCATTAATACTATCAGTGCGCACACTCTTGGTCGGATCTCAGAGGTTATGATACTTGACAGTCAGTGTGGCCTGTTGGTACTTAAGAGGTGTATCCTTTAATAAATTAAATGCTACTGGTATATCACTGTTAGGGTAGATTTATTCACTTTATTTTGACATGAAGATTAGCAACAAAAAAGACCCCAACAAGTAGATGCCATAAAATGATAAGCCTATGACATTATTTGTAATTAAAAGAAAGCAGCTGGATTTTTACGAAGAAATTTCTTACATCATTACCCAGCTTTGCACAACATACCTCACAGAAAGGCCCATCAAGTTTTTTCCAAGCACATCAAGTTGTTAGGCCAGAAATATCTAAATCCTTATTTTGTAAGTAGCACTAATTCCATGTTTGAGGTTGCCTCATCTTTCAAACATTTATTTAATTTACTCTGGCCATTTATTCAAATATTATTTTTGTGTGACCTTCTGAAGTACCGTAACTTAGGAAGTTTTAATTGTATTCAATGTTTCCTCAAACTTTCCTGTGGTTATAATGTAATACATTTTGTGTGCATATGCCACATTTAAAAAATAATGCTTATTTTTAACTAGTACACAGTGCAATATACAAGGCGGAATTAACCTATTTGAAGTTATTCCTTAAAATTAAGATTTTGTAAAATAGTATGAAATTAATAAGAGTGCTTTTGATAGTTGTAAATTAAATATTGACTGAATAAGCTGATCAAATTATTTTCATTTATGTTAAAAACTTCAAATTTAAAGAATAAATGATTTAATTAACAATACAAAATATTTGTTAACATTCTTTAGATATTTTTTTAAAACTCTTATGCTCCTTAGCGAGATGAGGGAATAGACTTTTTTTACCTGAGTAAGAATGACATTTTCCTGGTTGCTGCACATCCATCTCCAGGAACAGACGTCCCCATCTCCATTGTGGTTTACCTGGATTTTCTTCAAAGGTCAACAGCAATACAAATTTTAGCAATCTGCTTATAAATAATTTAAATATAGAAATCGAAACTAATGCAAATAGTTAAATTTTATCATTTAAATAATAATTAAATTTTTCTGAAACCTTCCCTTTATATATCTTAAAATGGGAAAAGCATAAATAAGTAAACACTGACAACCCCATAAACAATTACAACCAAAACAATAGCAAATGCTTCACTGTGCCTCGGTGTAACACAGTGCAGTATAAACAATCATTCTTCCCAGCACAATAATTACTTGGAACCACCTGGACAATGTCGCTGTAGACTCAACATCGGTCGAAAGCTTCAAGGCTGCCCTGGCATCTGCTAGGAGCTGTTAGAATAGCAACATCGCTTCCCCAACCGACGCACAGATGCCAGTATATGTATGCAGCAACGAACGCTACCAGAACCAGAGAACAGCTTCTCTTACCCTGGCAACACATTGTCGCAAAGTGTAACCATCGATGACGAGGTTAACCTTCATATTGCAAGAGCTAATGCAACCTAGGGCAAATTGTCTTAAAAATGAATTGACCAGGAGAAGTATCGGCAATCAAACTAAAATAAAATTCTACAAGGCAGCTGTGCTCCCTACGCTTCTCTATGCATGGGAAACATGGCCAGTATATCGACGCCATGCAAGAAAGCTGAACCACTTTCACACAACAAGCCTCCGGAAAATCCTGAACATCAAATGGCAGGAAAAGTTGTCCTAGACATAAAGATACTCACACAGGCAAGTTTCCCCAGCATCTAGACTAACTTAATGCAGTCCATGTTTTGAGAATATCAGACGACCGTTTGCCCGAAAGAATATTTTATGGCAAACTTGAGCATGGAAGGTGGTTCGCTGGTGTTTTAAAGACACCCTAAAAGCCTCATGGAAAGCGTTTGATATAAATCCAGACAAGTGGGAAGAATCAGCAAAGAGTCAAGTATCGTGGCGGTCCTCCTTTTGCAAAGGCTCCATGAAACATGAAGCAGACAGATCAGCTGCTGATGTCCCATCAATCCCCTGCACCTACTGCACAATAACTTTTTGTGCCATCATCAGTCTCATCTTCCATCTGCGCACTCACAGACAGAAACAACAGCCCCAATATGAAACCGATGATTTAAATGGTCTTGATCTATCTCGACGGACGAAAACAATTTTTGTCCCCTTTTTAACTTTCCTTGAAAGATGCACCCCTTTATTTTAGATACTGGCTCCCTGATCTTTACACATCTGGCCTAATTTTTACAAATCATTAAAAATAGAATAACACATCTTATGGGAGACATATTACAAATCACTAGTGTAGGAAGAGGGAGGGGTAATAGAGAACAAATGATGGTATTTTTTGTCTGTATGGTAAGACATAGTCAGCTATCACATTTTATGAGGCCAAACAAAAACCAAACACAAGTGACTGTTGGAAATATCTAAGTTCTATTTCTACCTGTTATCAGTGGAATCAAAGGGAAGAGCTGTAGGTATTGTAGGCCGAGGCTCCAACTTCAAAGTCTATGTGCAATTCCCCCTCCAATGTTTTATCCCATTTTTCTTGCTCTGCAGATTATATGAGATTCTCAAGGACTGTATAGGCACAGTTAATGAACCTTATGTTACAGTCAATAAGATGCTGCTCTTTGAGATTTTAGATGAAATCATGGTAGGTTTTTAAAAAACTGTTTTTATATTAATTAAAGTGTAAGAAAGTATATCAGCAATATCTCTTAGAACTGTTATCCAAGATGATGTAAGAAAGTATATCAACCAGATATCTTAGAACTCTGTTATCCAAGTTGATGTAAGAAAGTATGTCAACCAGATCTCTTAGAAATCTGTTATCCAAGTTGATGTAAGAAAGTGTATCAACCAGATCTCTTAGAACTCTGTTATCCAAGTTGATGTAAGAAAGTGCATCAACCAGATCTCTCAGAGCTCGGTTATCCAAGTTGATGTAAGAAAGTCTATCACCCAGATCTCTTAGAACTCGGTTCCAAGTTGAAGCAATGTCGGGGCATTGGTTGTTGTTGTATCAGTGTGAAACTTTTCAACTTGATTAGTTCGCTTTGAAAACTATTTTTCTTTATTTTAGATGAGTTGAAACATGAGGGGGCTACACTGAAATCCTCACGTCACACAGAGTCTTGGTCTTACTGATTTAATGTGACAAATGGGGCAGGCGGTAGAACATTTTATGTTTATTTTAAATACTTTGTCTTCTTCATTAAGTTCAGGGGTGGCTAAACTAGGATCATGGATCCCTTTGGGGTTCTTCATTAAGTTCAGGGGTGGCTAAACTAGGATCATGGATCCCTTTGGGGTTCTTTAAATATCAATTCAAGTGGTTGTTTTTAAAAACATTTATGGTGTTTGGAACATTCTTTTGATTGTGCCTAATATGGAACAAGGAACAAATAACCTGTCTTTGATAAGTTACTAAGCCGATAGTTCATTTGTCTAGACCTTATAACACCAGATATGGAACAAGGAACAAATAACCTGTCTTTGATAAAGCTACTAAGCTGATAGTTCATTTGTCTAGACCTTATAATACCAGATATGGAACAAGGAACAAATAACCTGTCTTTGATAAAGCTACTAAGCTGATAGCTCATTTGTCTAGATCTTATAACACCAGGTATGGAACCCAAGGCAACTTCAGTTATTTCTTACAAGACCATGCACACACTTTGAATGTTATAAACAAGACTTTCAATATTTTCTTCTACAGAATTTTGGCTATGGGTTTATATCATCTTACAATGAAATCAGGCCACATTTAACATTTGAACCAATCAGGCCAAAAATACCACAGCAGGATGATTTAGCATCAAGATTTGTAAGTTTGTGACTCCAGGACTAAATTAGAAATGCCAAGTCATGGTCATCTGTTGGGTTCATTGTTTATCAATTGAGCTAATTCAACTAACACTGAAAGGTTAAACAAATATGGCTTATAATTGGATTTGTATATTACTTAAAAAATCCAATGAAAAATTAAAATTTTATTATTGACGTTTAAAATATTTTCAGTTTGGGATAAATATTGCTGATGGAGCAAGATTGCATGCAGGATCTTCAGAGGTAAATCCCACACTCTTGTAGTGCTGCCTTCTTTTAACCATTTAAAAAAAAATTAAAAATTGCACTTTATTCTTGATCAAAAGGAGACTTCCTCTAGCTAGCTATTGTTATTGTTCAACTCATTACCGGATGCCAGTCTAATGATTGATCCCAGTCTAATGATTGATCCCAGTCTAATGATTGATCCCGGTCTAATGATTGATCACAGTCTAATGATTGATCACAGTCTAATGATTGATCCCAGTCTAATGATTGATCCCAGTCTAATGATTGATCATCACATTACTTGTCTTTCTCACTCCACAGCCCAAATCCAAGGCCCCTAACTCTGCCTACATCAATATAGTGGAAGGTTTATCTGCTGTGTTTGGTCCTAATGTAAGAGTCATAGACTTAGATAGTTAAGATAGATACTAATTTACTCTGTTCAACTTAACTTGACTAATCCTTTACTTCCTTGATTCATTTATGGTGCAGCTTTTGCTAGTTAACCTGTGTTTAAAGCTATTTATCATTTTTTTAAGAACTGCCAGTGTTATATTTTGGTTTTCATTTCCCAAAGGGTGACGTCCGCAGCTCAGAATTATGGGGAAAGCTCACCCTGATCAGCACGTTAGAACGTCCGGCACCTCTCTTGATACAGCTTAACCCTGAGCTGGTTATACTGAATTCAGGATTTACTGATGTTAGAGGTAAGTTGGTCCTGGTGGTTTTTCAACTTCTTAAAAAAATGTCTTCTGTCTTTACACAACATTTTACATGTGTACTGTGGCAGCCATTGTCAAGGTGAAGAGAACCACTGTTGCCAGAATGATTTGAAGTGGTCTGGATATCATCAACAGATTCTTTCTACTGATGTTCAACTGATCTGTCCACTCATTTACTTTTGCATGTATGGTGGTGGCCTTTTACAAGCTTTGTACCGTGATTATAACAAGTTTATTTAAACATCATTCTTATTTTATCATTTAAATAATATTTACATTTTTCTGAAACCTTCCCTTTATATGACTTAAAATGGGAAAAGCATAAATGAGTAAACACTGACAACCCCAAAAACACAAACCCCTGGGACCATAAACAAAAAAACTACCTTGACTGATTCCCCTCCTCTGACCGATAAACGATCTTGCTGGCTGCCGTCCATGGTTTGCCTTGTAAAAGTTATGTGTTGGGGTGGGTGAATATACATTTTTTTTTTTTTTTTGCTGTTCTTTATTTCATAAATGTATTTTTTTTTAATGTCATGATTATGTCTCTTTTGATAAAATTTTTATGTACAACGCGGTGAGCCCAGCCCTAGGCTGGGGTACCGCGCTATAAAAGACCCCTTATTCGATAAACGATCTTGCTGGCTGCCGTCCATGGTTTGCCTTGTAAAAGTTATGTGTTGGGGTGGGTGAATATACATTTTTTTTTTTTTTTGCTGTTCTTTATTTCATAAATGTATTTTATTTTAATGTCATGATTATGTCTCTTTTGATAAAATTTTTATGTACAACGCGGTGAGCCCAGCCCTAGGCTGGGGTACCGCGCTATAAAAGACCCCTTATTATATTATTATTATTATTATTTAAATGTTGAATTGGTATAAACCAGCTTATAATCAAAGTCTAGTAATCTGTTTTTATATTAATAAGTTACAAAAACATATAATTGTATTAATTTTTAACAAATTAATTATTTCATTTATTCTTCACATTATTAATGGTCATCTAATTATCTTAGATTTTTTATCTTTAAATTTAAAACTTAATGAAAATTCTGATGTGAATCCCTAAAATGTGTACTCTGATAAAGCAAATGTTTGTTTGTAATCCTAGTTGCTGGAGCCATACACATAGAGAATCCCAGCTTCCATTCTTGTGTGGATTCATCTCAACTGAGTAAGAGAAAAGCTCTCCGCGTGCTCCCACCGCCAGATCAGGTGTTATCTTCATGTAGTTCTATTTAAAGCCTCTTAGGACTTGTATGACCTTTTAAGGATTCATAGCAGCCATGCACTTGGCATTATTTCATTGTAAAATCAGCAACTGATGATGTTTTAAGGATTCATAGCAGCCATGCACTTGGCATTATTTCATTGTAAAATCAGCAATTGATGATGTTTTAAGGATTCATAGCAGCCATGCACTTGGCATTATTTCATTGTAAAATCAGCAATTGATGATGTTTTAAGGATTCATAGCAGCCATGCACTTGGCATTATTTCATTGTAAAATCAGCAACTGATGATGTTTTAAGGATTCATAGCAGCCATGCACTTGGCATTATTTCATTGTAAAATCAGCAATTGATGATGTTTTAAGGATTCATAGCAGCCATGCACTTGGCATTATTTCATTGTAAATTCAGCAACGGATAGACTTTTAATTTTCGCGATGTATTTCAGATGCATAGAAAAGTTTTAAAACTATTTTGTGATTATTCTAAATTTGCAACAGACCCGCCTGATGGTGTACACCTTGTCCGACTCAGCCTGCATTCACCTCCCGATCATTGTCATTCCTCTGCTGGCAGCTGTTGAGGGAAGCAGGTACGACTTTGTCATATAGATACGTCAATTCTCTTACTTTTATAATTTATTTACTTACGTCACTGTAGGCCCATTAGAAAGATATATCCCGAGGCTTTTGAATAAATTAAAAACTTGAAATATTTTTAGTTTGCACACCTTATTGGGTTTTAAGTCATGTATGTCTGTCAATAGATCAGTTGAGCTTTCATAAAACTTACCTCTTACGCCTACTTTACCAAAGCCATTTCAATGTTGTTTCTAAACATTAGGCTATATTTTTTCAGAGACTACAAATTTTCTTTACGCCTCATAAATCAAGCTGAGAATTTTGCAACAGCATCATATGTACGTGTCAAGGTCAAACTTCCTTTGTGGGTGTCCAGGTAATTCGTTGACCAGTATATAAGCTGCTTTCATTTTCCTCCCTAAATCAGCCCTCTAACTGTCGACATCTTTGAATTGACTCTTCTGAAATAGATTTAGTTAAAATGTCACATTCCAGGTTGAGAATGGTCCCATCTTTTCATTTTAAGCCTAACCCTATCTTGTTCCACTATTTCCTTCACACGGCTTGAAAACAGTCCCTCAAATATTATCCTTGAAATTTAATAGAAATGAACGGTAAGTGTTGGGCTAAGTTATTAGTTTTTTAATCAATTTTTTAAATGCTTCCCTAAAAGAAACCAGAAAGGCATCTCCTGAATTTGCAGTGTTTTTATTAACTTAGCCCAATGTCTTTATGGACATAGACCAGTGTCTTTATGGACATAGACCAGTGTCTTTATGGACATAGACCAGTGTCTTTATGGACATAGACCAGTGTCTTTATGGACATAGACCAGTGTCTTTATGGACATAGACCAGTGTCTTTATGGACATAGACCAGTGTCTTTATGGACATAGACCAGTGTCTTTATGGACATAGACCAGTGTCTTTATGGACATAGACCAGTGTCTTTATGGACATAGACCAGTGTCTTTATGGACATAGACCAGTGTCTTTATGGACATAGACCAGTGTCTTTATGGACATAGACCAGTGTCTTTATGGACATAGACCAGTGTCTTTATGGACTTAGTCCAAATGTCCAATGTCTTTATGACCTTAGCCCAATGTCTTTATGGTCTTAGCCCAATGTCTTTATGGACATAGACCAGTGTCTTTATGGACTTGTTCCAAATGTCCTATGTCTGTATGGGCATAGACCAGCATCTTTGTGGCCTTAGCCCAAAGTCTTTATGGCCTTAGCCGTGTGGTTAGAGATGGTCAGATAACTTCATTGAGAGGGAAAAAGCAGCAATTAACCACATCATATCCCCATTCACTTGAGCCAATAAATATCATGTGGTCTTGGTTAACATGTAACGTTTTCCTATTCAGTGTTTCTACAACCAAGTCTGGAGAGCGCCAAACAAGTGTATTCGACAGCGTTGAGAAGACGGCCGAGTGGGAGATTAAACGATCACCAGGAGGATCAGAGGAGATTATCATTTTCAGGGTAAACCCCATTTTCAGTTTAATCATTTTTAACACCATTTGGCCACTACCGGCTTTGCCTTAGGTTGGAATAATTTCTTGAGTGACCACATACTATGACCTTTCACACAAAATCTCAATCTTATTTTCTTTAATGGCTTTTATTTCTCTCAGTCCATTGAAGTAGTCAAATTTGGTCAATAGTCAAATGTATCAGATATTTTCATGTAACTAATAGCAGTTTCAAACTGAACTATGTAGACCACAGCAAGTATAACCATAAATAATTAAATATCATGTTTTTGTCTTCTTCAGCTCATCAATCAGACAGACAAACCAATTGAACTTTCCAACATAGGTCCAATCTCCATTGCCTTTAACATGACCCACTTTTCTGCATCTGGACTAGTTGTCAAAATGGCTAGGGTTGAAGGTCAGCCAACTGACCCAATGAGTCTACCTCCTGAATGTTTCTTTGGCGTTTCCACAAAAGCGGCCTCTTACACCATCAGGACTGATTTGCAAAAAGATGCGACTTCGCCCACATGATGATATCTGAGCAAAGTGAAATGTTTAACATGACATTTGAATATAGCACTGAAAGAACTGCATATATTGCCTGAATGTTTCATATTACATGTGGTGTCACTCCAATGACACTTAATGTAACAGTCATCCAGACATCTGGGCAAAGTGAAATGTTTAACATGACATTTGAAGGTAGCACTGAAAGAACTGCATATATTGCCAGATTGTTTCATCTTACATGTGGTGTCACTCCAATGACACCTATTCTAACAGTCATCCTGACATGATGGTGGAAAAAGCATGTAGGAATTGTCACTAATTTTTGAAATGATATGGCATCCCCTTTGTGACCTCTAAGTGATGTTTCAATCACAAAAATGACTGTTTCATCTACAAATATACATTTGACAAATATCTACAATAAATTCTGACTATGGCACCAGTGCAATGTGACAGCTACCCAGGATATTGCTCATAGATTCTCAAGAAACTGGTCTTTAACTTGTATTAATTGCTTTATTTCTTCAAGTAAATGTGTGAGGATTCTGATAGTACTAGAAACAACCCACCAAGTGATGGCAATGCGCGAACTTCACATCTACTTAAGTTACTTGACAAAATATGCATTCAAGTAACACACTTGATAAGAATCCCAATTAGTGCAGACATCTAGAAATGTTAATTTGTTTGCCTTTTGAACACAGCGTTACAGCCATACCTAAAGAAGTATTATTTGTGACAATATATCCAATTGGTCTGTATGAAACAACAGATTTGTGTTGCTACAGTGGCACATTTACACATCAATTTATTACTGTCTTACTTACTACAGAAATTATCCAATTATGTCACAGCGGATCATATCCAATGTAACTATTTTGATGAGTGTATTTTCATGATAAAATTTTTCATGGTAAAGGTAGTACTGGAGTTGTGGTGATAATATTCAAGACTGAAATAATTGTAAATTGCAAGAATTAAGATTTAAGTTTATGTTTTGCTATTTAATCACTAAGACAGTTATGTGACATCATACTTGTGTCCAGAAAGTTATATGAGCTCATACTTATGTCCAGCAAGTTATGTGAGCTCATACTTGTGTCCAGCAAGTTATGTGAGCTCATACTTGTGTCCAGCAAGTTATGTGAGCTCATACTTGTGTCCAGCAATTTATATGAGATCATACTTGTGTCCAGCAAGTTATGTGAGCTCATACTTGTGTCCAGCAAGTTATGTGAGATCATACTTGTGTCCAGCAAGTTATGTGAGATCATACTTCTGTCCGGCAGGTTACGTGAGATCATACTTCTGTCTGGCAGGTTACGTGAGATCATACTTGTGTCCGGCAGGTTAAGTGAGATCATACTTGTGTCCAGCAAGTTATGTGAGACATACTACTGCCCAGCAGACACACAAAAATCCATGGTGGTATAAGTGGGATAAAATGACATAAAAGCCATACATAGTGGAGTAACAATTATACAATAACATTTCCTAACCACAATGACTAAAAAAGTTGAGAGAATACGGATACCGGTATATTCATCCTTAAATTCATGCATGATTTTATTTTTCAATTTCAAGGGCATAAATTATGTTGTGAAATAAAATACACATGTACATTCTGTCTATATTTTTAGGTTATAAATAAATTTGACTTGACACATCTTATTTGGTCACTATCCAGAATTCAGTCTTTTAACAAAAATCAGATACAATTTTCACTTGCTTGTTAGATAATACATGTATGCATGAAATGAAAGACTGAGAAGTCTAATAATAACTACCAGCAGTTACTGAAATAAACTCCACCAAGGTAGTTATTTGTATAAAAAAATTTAATTCACTGTTCTAAAAGTCATGTTTTAAACTTTCCACATGACCGTAAAGATTTCTTAGATATTTCACCACTCAGCAGCTTGTGTCAAAATCATTTCAATAGCATTGCATTATGCAAATGACACATTCGCTATGGTCCATTCAAGTGGCTTCATATGTCAGCATTCCAGTTGACATTTACATTAAAGACAACATAAACATTGGCATCTCCAGTGATGGTCATCAAACATTCTCAACATTAAGAATTAGGTAACAACAGTAAAACTCATTTACATTAATTATTAATAACCAGGGCTGAAGATCAATTGTTTAAAAATGTATGCTCCTTTCACTGGAAAATCTTACACTCAGACTTTAAACAGTCAATATTAACTCAGAAATAATCTGAGAAATTATCAAACTGATCCCTAGCAAATACAAAAAACAACAGGTTTCTTTCAAAAAAATGTATACCAATAAAAAGAAGATTAAAGCACTTGATAAAATTCTAGAATACTGATCAAGTGCTACACAGGTAGAAATATATATATATTATTATCACATAATAACTGAGAGTCCAGCACAGCATTTAACAAATGTCTCCAGGACACCATTTAACTAATGTCTCTAGCACACCCTTAAACCAATCTTCAGTTTGAACATAATAAAACATACTGGTAAACTAAGTTATTACCATCATTATGAACCACAAAAATGTACAGATTCCACTACACTGTAGTGAGAATTAATGGTCAAAAGTCAATCTTTTAACCAACTGGTGCAGTGCAATATTTGACACATTATGATCTGGAAATTATTATTTTCAATATATATTTTTTTTTAAAATTGACTCAATGCTCTGAATGTAAAGTAAATAATGTACAGTGTGAGAAATTAGTTATTTGTATTTTCTCATTCCTGTTGTACAAGCTGCAGGCTTGTATTATTATTTATTTTGTTTATTTTTAATTTGGTTCTAAGAGGTCAGGTCAGAGGGCTAACACAGTTTAAAAGGACCCCAATTAGTGGGACCCCCCTCCCCCCTTTCACAACTGCATACTTTTTTCATACCCTTGGGCTTGGGCATTATTAATATTCTTATGTCCTACAATCTTTTATACCGCAGATTTATAACACCATATTTAAATTGAGACTATTTCCGTAAAACAAAAGAAAATATTACGCACTAGTGGTATTTTTAAGAATCTCATTTGCGCAGTTATGGTTATAGGGAATTTTATTTAGTTAAAGCATTAGTGACATTAGTTGTTATCTATAGAACTTTTATGGAATGATGGGAGACAACAAACTGACAAACTAAAGTGCTGTTCTAAAGCTTTTGTATAATCAACGTTCCTCTTCCTCACTAGATGACCTAGAATCTGACCTCCGAACACGAAAACGTCGTCCACGAACTTTAGTCCTCTTGAATTGCACATTAACAGAATTTGGTGGCAAACTTTCATCCATATTTGATGACTTCAGCGATTGCAGTTCAGCTCCAGAGAGTAAAACTGAGGAGTGCAGTTGAGCTCCAGAGAGTAAAACTGAGGAGTGCAGTTGAGCTCCAGAGAGTAAAGGTGGCTCTTCACTTGAGGAGGAGGAGGAAGGGTTTAAGCCTGCAGAGTTACTTTCTGACGGAGAAGATGAAGAGTTACTGACCTTGGGTCTAAACTTGGGCCTGGACTTTGAGCAAGGCTTCCCAAGGGGAATTGATAGTTCCTCCTTTGGTAATAAGGAACAGTTCAGGGATGTTACATTACCCCCTGATGAAGAAGATGACGAGTTGCCGTTCTTTGGTCTAGACTTTGATTTAAAACATGGTTTCGCCGTGGTCTCACAAACCGGCTCTTTAAATCCATCATTGCCAGGTGGCGCTCTAGATCTGTTGATGGCTGAGAAGATGTGAGGTTGTTGATCATTGATGTTGTCACTAAATGAAGTGGTGGGGTCTTTCCTAATAAATGCCCTGAAAGACTCATCCGAGTTGCTTCTTTCCAAGCTGATGGAACCAAACGGGGTATTAGAAACAGGAAGTTTAGTATGCACTTTCTGGCTGTTCTTGGAGGTACAAGCCATTGCTTGTTTGGAAGTGCTGCCGGCAGCCTTGCTGGATTTTGTTTTACGGCCTGACTGTTGGTCACCAGTTGCCCTACTAGAACTGACAGAATTAGAAGGGGCGGGCATTGCTGAACCGTTGAAAGTGTTCTGAGCCAAGTCTAGATTTAAAACAGCATTGAAGGACTCTGGGGCGAAGGCCTGGAGCTCTGGCATGAAATACAAACCAGCATCTAGAGACACCGGGAGTCTAGGCCGAGTGCTGATGGATGGCAGAGGGGGCGCTTGAGTTTCCTGTGAGCTGGCGAGCGAGGTTCGCGAAGGGCTGGACTCATCTAGAATGACAGTTTGTATTGTGGCCTCCTCGGGTAAGGAGCTGGTTTCCGATGGATTATTGCTGCCAGAGTCAGTGCTCATATGGCCGTCGTTGGTGTCGCTAAACGTCCGGCTGTTGTTAAACTCATTTGAAACCAAATTGTCCACAAAGTTATCAATGACATCGGCTAGGATGCTCACGCTTGTCGCATTGTCCCGCAGGTACTGATCTCCACTGTGCTGCAGGTCTTCCCTGATGCGCCGCAACCTTCTTGGACATACGCTTCTTTTGGAGGTGAAATCTTTTAGCTTACCCTTAGCAATGACACTAGAAATTTTCTTACCCGGCAGCCTCGGTCCAGAGGTCATCGCCCGTGATGTCAGATACCTACTGTACATCGCGCTGAGTATCTCGTCCACTTCACTATCACTATCCGATGATGAATCAAGGTTTAGGTCCCTATAAGAAGGCCTCGACAGCCTCCAGTTGCTGCTAGTGGTGTCCTGAGTGTTGTTTGGATCGTCACCCTCGCTGCTCCTTGATGCGGGTAATGGAATAGAAGAAGCGGCGGCAGACTCCGTTTCAAGAACCGGACTTCTCGCCAGCCTGTTTTTTCCGGCACTCCGCCAGCCCCCTCCGCCATCATCACTTTTGTTGCCATCTGAACTCGTATCGTCTCCTTTTTCTACGCTCTGTTCAATTTCCCGCTGAATGAGGCTGTCAAAGAATGCTATCATGCACGGTTCCTCGTCTGTGCTCCCGTTGGTATAATCGTGTGACAGGAAGCTCCCGGCTTGCAAAACCATGTGAATGTACTCTTCATGACTGTAAGCATTTCTTTCAACTTCCTCATCGTCACCATAGCGACGACTATGCACAAGATGGCCAGAACAGTTTGGAATTGAGTAAGGACTCCAAAGCTACCAAAGAAAAAATATAATAATAATTGGTTAAGAATGTTCAATTACAACATTTTCATCATTTAATTTATTTTGAAATGCTAACTAAAATTGGTCAAATTAAAATCTTTAACTTTAAGGAAATATGGAAACACTTTGAAACCAATGCCAAGCAGTAGTGGTGGACGGTACAAGCACCTCCTTTGTCTGTGTTAAGTCAGGCATCCCCCAGGGCTCGTGCTAGGCCCCTGTTTGTTCAGAGCACACATCAATGACCTACCCGAGAAACTGACATCCCAAGCCAGACTGTTCGCAGATGACATGACAGTGTATAGGAAAATTGCCAACAGATCTGACCAGGACCAGCTACAACAGGATCTCCATAGGTTAGCCAAGTGGGAGATGAGCTGGGACATGGAATTTCATCCTGCCAAGTGCCAGACACTGTCAGTCTCCAAAAGTCGTACCCCTCTACACCACCATTACAAATATACTTGAGCCAGTTTCCTCTGAAAGGTACCTGGGTGTTACCATTCAAAGAGAAGTCCACTGGGACGAGCATATTAACAATGTGTGCAACTAGTCAAACAAGACACTAGGGTTCTTAAGTCGTAATCTAAAGATCGGCAACTCCATTGTGAAAGAAAGAGCAGATAAAGCCTTTGTCCGACCGCTTTTAAAGTACGCATCTACAGATCCATGATGTACAAGATAAAAAATGGGCTGGTCCACTGCTCCAGCATCAAACAAAAACTCTTCCCTCTCCCCCATAGACAGTGACGAGGCAATGACAGGCAATTCCGGTTCATACCAGCAAGAAGCCAGTACAGGAACTGCTCATTCCTGCCAAAGACAATCAGGGACAGGAAAAAGCTTCCAAAAAAAAAAAACAGTTGAGGCGACAACACTAGACACATTTGTGTCTATTGCCTCAGGCCTTCCAACCCCCAGCGTATAATACCCTCACAAAGTAGCCCTTGCAACTAGTGAAATGTCCTTGTCAACACCAGGCACAGAAACATTGCAATCCCCTCTACATGCATAGGGGGCAGAATGATCAATAAATTGATCGTCGGCACTTAATATATAGAAGAAGAAGAAATTAATGTTTCACTTTCCACAGAGCTAATCATTTTAAAAATATTTGGAGGACAAAACCTTTTAAAAACCCACCCGATAAGGCAACGGTTCTCAACCTTTGGGTCACGACCCCTTTGGGGGGTCGAATGACCCTTTCACAGGGGTCACCTAAAACCATTGGAAAACACATACCGGTACTCAACAGTTATAAAGTAGAAACGAAAATAATGTTGTGGTTGGGGGTCGCAACAACATGAGGAACTGTATTAAAAGGTTGCGGCATTAGGAGGGTTGAGAACCACTGCCCTAAGGCAATCTGAATTAGTTTCATTTGATGTTAGTTTTTAAACCATGTGACCCTTAAATGACAGGACAAGTTTTACACCTTGATCAACTTTTCCACTCCAGAGGATATGATGAACTGACTGTGTGGACAATACCGGACTTGGTTTACTATTGACCTATGACCTCTGAGTATCATGTGAGGCTCTGTCTGGGTGTCTGTTATTTTAAAATAAATTTAAAAATATATATGTATATAAATGTATACCTAAAAAAAGACCTAAAATGTTTAGTACCTGTATTAAAGATAATTGAACATGTTGTATTAAAAGTAACTAATCTATTTACTTAAAACAATTGTTGGGATGACTGGGTACACCACCACCACTGTTATAATTATAAAAAAGAACAAAACAAATGAGGTTCCTACAGCTTTCACTGAGTTCTGAAGGAATTTTCCACAGGTACACACAGAAGTCATCCGATCCAGACATGATGTACTGGTAGACAGAGAATCAAAAGTTTGGTTAAACACAAACACATCTTCAATGTATTAATAGAGACGTAACAACATAAAAAAATTAGGGCGACTACACCTCATTTTAAAAGCATCTACTTAATTCTCAGTGGTTCTTAGCTCTTTGGATGCCCATGAAGAAAGCTGATGACACAACATGTTACAAAAATTACTAAACCTCATCATGAAGACCAGCAAAACTACAACTTTTGAGGGTGCAAGCATTGTAATACGTCTTGTAATCAAACTCATAGATCGGATGCATCTTCCCAATGTCATAGAGGACGGGGGACGAGCGGCGTCGCAAGGCCAGCAAGCGATCGCCTCGGCTGTTAAAGCGGACACTCATGCAGTTCTGGATGCCACTTTTATAGTTAAGGGCCCTGGTGAAAAATATTGGAAGCATCTTTAGTTAGTGCTGAGAGAAAATTTTCTAATTTTTTTTGTCTTCAACTTATTTAATTTTGTGTAAAAAAAAAAATTTTGTTTAAAATCTTAAGTATTGTTGATATGATTTCTGTGCCTTTAAAAAGATGAAATTTGACGATCTGAGGTAGTGGATATGTCTTTTTATATCTATGGCCATTTATGCCTGAAAAAAATTGGGTAAATATTGCATTTGGTCATCACAAACATCAATACAAACGTTATAAATTATGTGTTTTTTTAATTTAAATAAATATTTATTCATTGCTAAGGTAATTCAACTGTTGATATTTAAACTGTAGTTTCTTCTCTACTTCTCAATGGTGGTCAGGTCACCCACACCACTACTCACTTAAGTGGCATCCTGATGTCCCACAGCCCAATGCCATGTTTAGAGTTGGCCGTTGCCAGGAGAACTGGATCCATTGGGTTATACATGATAGAGTGCATAGCTGCATCCTGGTCAGCCAATACAAATGGGGCTAATCCAGAGAATAACAAAGGCATGAATGCATCTTACAAAAGAGGACAGAAATGGTTTGTCATTACTTATGAGCCTCATATGTCATGTAGCCAATTTACTTTCAGTCCAGTTTTAGGAAATGAACATAACCAAATGTTGTTTCTCTCTCCCCCATGAGAACAGTTCAAAACAATATTTTCAAGCTGTGTCATAAAAAATGCTTAGCCTTACATTATTTTTAAAATGATTAGGGCTGTAGCAAACTTAAACATTGATGGATTAAAACAGAAGATAAGATTAGACCACAGTAGTGCAAACATGGTACTAGATACATGAAGACTAGGTCGAAGTAGTCCAGACATGGCACTAGGTAAATGAAGACTAGGTCAAAGTAGTCAAGACATGGCACTAGATACTCATAAAATAGGCCGAAGTAGTCCAGACATGGCACTAGATACATAAGGATTAGGCCGAAGCAGTCCAAACATTGCACTATAATGGCAGTCCAAGTATTCAAATCCTTCCTGTCTTCTATTTCATAAATATCAAATATGAGGTTGAGCTGCTTCTAAATCATATGTTGCCGTACAATATGTAAGAGGTTCATTTGATCAATAAAGGAAACAATTATTCCTATATTTCTATATTTAACTTAAAACTATGATGAAAATTGTCATTTTGGACAAGCCTTTTTTAAAAAGATATTTGGCGTAGTAATCTATTTATAAGGCAGTCCTAGATTTTAACCTAATCCGAATGTATCAACTATAAACACAGAGTTAAACATATTGAAAGGCATATTCATCATTTATCATTTGTGATGAAAGTGATGAGCCAAGAAAACGACCAACCACTGAATTTGGGCATCCTTGTGTCCAGAATCTGAGCCTTGCCGTCGTCACTGGCTGTGGCAATGATTGTTGCGTTGATTGGGTCAGGTGAGAGGCAGTAAATGGCATCATTGAGACCGCACACAATGGTTGACATTTGCCTGACAGATCAATAACGCGTTATGGTGTTGTGCCAAAAATGAAATTAAATACATGAACTCTTTGTCTTTTCAATGCCGATATGAAATGTAATAAAAAATATACAAAAAAGAGAAATGTTAACATCAATAATTTACCATTCTTAGTTTGAATTTTCAACACGACATATGATAATTTTTTTGTTGCAGTTCATATGTATAAATGTTTATGATTTTTATGAAACTTGAGGATACATGTAGAAGGAATGCAGAATAAGCTGACGTACTCTGCATTGTTAAGAATAATTGATGAAAATATTCATAAAAATTATTTCACAATATTTCACACCTCCACATTTCTTTCATCCATAATAAAAATGGCAGGAGCTGATGTGTAATACATCCGGTAAAGCATTAATTTAATCATTACAAACATAATGAAGTCATGTTGACTTGGACTCTATTAATTTAATGATTACTTACATAATGAAGTCATGTTGACTTTGACTCTAATTCATTTAATGATTACTTACACACTGAAGTCATGAACAATAACTTGGCCATCATTTCCTTTAAAAGGGAGTTTAAATAATATTTCAATAAATAGCTTTCTTAACATATTAACCACTACTAATAATTGAAAACATATAACACATACGAAATATCAACATTATAAGTGCTTGAATGAATTATCGGAAAAACTATATTTATTTATAATAGTGCGCTCTCTGTTCCTGTACTAGAGATAATAAGTGCACCTTTGCTATATATTAACAGAAAATGTATAAATATATATATAACAAAACTATAAATAAAAAGAGAAACGATGTAATATTTATTAATTAACTATAGGATCTCACAGACTAAATAAATAAATGAACATATAAATTTCACACTACCTCCGGTGGCTACTTTTTTATCTTCTGCATCGAAACAACAAGAGTTAATGTTGCTGATATGCTGTGTGTCAATAACTGAGGGACCCTTGTTGTCAAATATTGTTTGACCGACATTCCAGAGCAGAAGACGTCTGTCATCTCCTCCTGTAAATAAAATAGGTTTTTATTTTAATTGTCTTTTCAGGCCATTATGGCACCGACTAAGAAAGAAGAGACCAAATGAAACTGGTACTGGTGATTCCATGATACATGATCCAAGATTTTTTTTTTTTTGCTTTGTCATTTTAACATAGCTACCAAAAAAAAAACCAACTCAATAATTTTCATCCCCTTAAAATAATATTCATCCTATCAATTAGATTATCAATTAGAATATCAATACGATTATCAATTAGTTTATCAATCAGATTATCAATTAAAATGCCAAGGATTGCATGATTTTATTCTAATTTTGTTATTTCCAAAATAATTATAGCAGGTTAGTGGCGGCCCGTAACTTATATTAGTGGGAGAGGGGGGTTGCTTCAGAAAATGTTCTGGCATTAATTTAATATTGTGCAAAACAAAATACATATATACAGAGAACGAAACCTGATTTTTAATGATAAGAGCCTAAACAAAGAATTTATTTTTAAATTACATATAGATTATCATTTAAAGTTTATCACATTCATGTGCTCTTAAGTATGATACAACACAGAAGCCACACACTGATGCAAAAACTAAATAATTCAAATTAATAACACTAGCTTTAGGGCTGAATGATGTCTGGAGAATATACATTATTCATTATAATATAATTTCAAATGGTTATCAAGTAAACAGATTAAAAGAATCACAAAACAAAAGACTGAAGAGCTCTCCATTCCATGCAATATATATATGCCAACAGAAAAATGACTAACCAATATCAATAAGTATTTGTAGTATGTAGGCTTAGTCAAATCCAAGGTCAATCAGTGAAATTCTATCTGCCATATTATATTTATTATTTTATGATCTACACCTGACTTACACTTGAATTAGGGTCTCTAAATTTATTAAAGCCTAAATCAGAAAATAATCTTTAATAAAGCTTAACATAAGATTCTTCTACTGACCCAAATTAATGGAAATGTTTTTTTATTACATTGTACTTATTCATTTTCAGCACATAGATAAATTTAAATGCGAAGATGAACAAGGCTAATTTCAACAGTGCATACACAGGTGGCTTGCCAGTCTTATTTGTGTCTGGAAAGCTTCCCCACATGTTAAGCACACATTTTTTTCTGCCTACCAGCTGAGCTTTTCCCTCTGGAGAGTTCACCAACATAATTTTTGAAGGAAGTCTACTATCTGGCATTCTCGCAAATGCCCTGCCTATCTTGCTTGTCTTTTTTGTTGGAAAATGTGTATGCTGATAAAATCAGCATGTTTTAGGATTTCTGTATCAGGGACATTTTCCTGCCAACTTATGCCATGAAGTTAGCATTGACAGCGTAGGTGGAGATGTCTGCTGTACACCTCTCGAAGGAGTATAAGGGAGTTGTTACAAAATTGCCCAAAATACTATCAGCTTTGAGACAAGACTGAGACCCTTTGGCTCCCGGATACTCTTGTGGACCCTTACAAATGCAGCAATTGCTTTGGAAATTCAGTTGCTAATCTCATCGTGTATTGTTACTGACTGGGAGAGGCTGCTGCCTAAATATGTGAATGTTTCCATGCCATAACTTAAAAATATAAATATGCAGTGTTGTTAATTTTAGATAACACTAACAGGATGTCAGTCACTGTTACTTTGATTGACAAAGGTGGGGTGGGGGCAGCGGAAATTGAGGTTGCCCATCAAAAGCTTTTGAGTGTAAGTAGGGGAGGGCCGTATCCCCTCGAAATTCTGAAATAGAAAACTTAAGACTAGAATAGACTGAATAGAATATAGATTTTTAGATAAATTAAAAATGTTGACTCCTCAATAAAAAGGCCGGCACTACGTACACCGCGGCGGTGTACCTAGCGAAACTATTGACTTTGGCCTGCGTACACCGCGGCGGTGTACCTAGCTAAATCATGGTCTGTGGCCTGCGTACACCGCAGCGATTTTAAGTAGCAAAACTATGGTCTTTGGGAGTCTTTAACTTTTTGGCCTAACCGGTACTTGTAGATTTAATGTTATACTCGTGTTAAAACTGAAAACTATTTATTTAAAAATCGTTTAGTACTATGGGAGGAGGATATTGATTAAGTTATATTGATTAAGTTCCACGCTTATGTGGCAAAGTACTTGTAGAGCATTTCTTATTATTTTTTTTGGAAGGTGTAATGTTAAACCATGATTTATTTTTGAAGGTAACCACTTTATTCTCCCCCCCCCCTTCCCTCCCCAATATATTGAAATACAAATATATTTATTTATTGTAAGTTTTATCATATGATTGTGAATCTTAATAGGCATAAAAAGGGTAGCTAATTTGTTTGGGGGGGGGGGGCATTATAAATATAACATTGTATGTGATCCCTCGGGGCGTGGTGCAAAAATGAATGAGAAAGCCAGTGAATCTATTTTGTTAGCACCAAGATATAATTACGACACAAATACACTACGGGAAAAGAATCACATGGTCATACATTGATCATGAAGTCGTGAAGTTAAAGTTGTCCGAGGCATTGTCATTGTGATACCAAGCATGTGTCAACACAAAACAATAGTATGCTGATAAATACGAAACACTGCAGTGATTTTTAAAGTCTTTTAACAATAATTAAATATCATTGATTTAAATTTTACATTGGCATTACACGTTAGTAAAAAATGCCGGCGGAGGGGGGGGGTGATGCAAAAGGTAAGTTTGTTGTGCGGACGTCCTTTGGGGACAACCCTTATCCAGAGCCGTGGATTGTGTAGGCCCTTTTTTTGGTTAAGCCTCTGCCCATAACTCACCCCCCACCCCGGCAAGGGTCGATTTCTTAAAAAAAAAAAACAACAACAAATACAAAAACTTTGACATAGTGCTAATCCTGTCCCAAGCCCAATGTGCAATGGTTTCTGTGAGAAAGCGTCATGTTTTACCCTGAGAATAGCACATGCCATGCCATTCTGGAAACAAATTCCGTCATGAAAAGGGTAAACGCAGACCTATTCCTATGGCTTTGCTATAGACGTAAGTTTCTAAAATCGAGGTGTTTTCAAAAGATTTGCTGTGAAACTGAGTGTTGTGAATGAACCTTTGATATCGTGTGTACATTTTGCCAATGCATAAGGCAAGATGAAAGCAAGATGGTTCAAGGTTGAAATACGACCATGCACAATAATGACATTAATATTCATACTCATATGATATTAATGATATACTGGTATTTTCTTTGGGTGTTCGTAAAAGTAAAATGTAAATATTCAACTACACGAAGATTGTTGAAATACAATAGGATATCACTTAGTATTCAAAATGTTTCTGTTATACATGTTACATACACTATACATGCGCTTTCAGAAACTTTAAGTTTATTTTCTAATGTCTAAATGTCTTATTACTAAATTTACCGGTATTTTCAAAGTCAAAGGCTGGCACAACTTGTTGAAACACTATAATATATATATATATATATATATATATATATATATATATAATTTAATACAATATTTAAAAATATGTTTAAATTGTTTAATTTGCTACAAAATATTTTAAAACTAAAATAGGAGGAACAAAAACTCGATCCCCTACTGGGAATTGATCTCGAAATATATTAACGCCAAGCGTCCACTCTACCACTTGACCACACAAGATCTGCAACTACAAGTATATCTTAAAAGAAGACCAATGGTACATTTTTGCCGCGGTGTACCCAGGCCAAAGCCCACGATTTCTCTAGATACACCGCCGCGGTTTACGCAGGCCAAAGCCGATGGTTTCGCTAGGTACACCGCCGCGGTGTACGCATCCACTTCACAATAAAAAATGTTAGGAAAATTTAGTTCCAGTACTGCAGTGAAAATTAGAAATACTAACCAGATGCTATAAATTCTCCATCTGTTGAATATTCAATGGCATTAACACAGCCATAGTGACCACGTAAATCAATTTTAAACAAACTTTGGGATTGTGCAAGTCGATGCCCAAACAAACTCTGCTTTAAAGATGACAATGAGGTTCCGTCTCTTTCACGTTTCATTAAACTAGATGAAGCAGATCTATAACCATTTCTCAGAGATTCCATATCATAAAAGTTTAATTTAAAAAGATACAATTATCAGTTACAAATGTGATGTTGTAATCGAGTAGTTGTGTTGTTATTTTTGTCTACTTCTGCTAGTCAGCCATATTGGTTATTTATTAAAAAGTTATAGGGAAGTGTCAAGCAGTCACTCGTGTGAATTTTATCCAAATAAAATCGGTACATCTGGGGATTGGAAATTTTAACACAACTGCTGCCGTTAAAGTACCTTACGTCACACATGCAGCACCTTTTCATAAGTAAGTGATCTGGATTTAGCTTGAATACTGGAGGTTCCATAATATTTTGTACGGATCACCTCATCATTTCCAGCCAAAAACCTACATCTTTCCCAACCATCTCTACAATCGACTACACTTACTCACCTCAAACTACCCCCAAGAGCCCAAGACAACCCTTTCCCCAAAGACAATCATTTCCCTAAGCCCAGTTTCCTCCAAAAACACAACTCTCCCAAACACAACCCTCTCCACGAACCCAATATCTCCCCTCCGACACTCTCTTACTTCCCTTTCGAGGCCTCTCACCATTCAAGCTAAGGGACTCCATCTGAGGGAGAGGGGGAGGGAGAGGGGGAGGGAAAGAGAGGTAGGGAGGAAGAGAGGGAGAGGGGGAGGGAGAGGGGAGGGAGAGGGGGAGGGAGAGAGGGGGGGAGAGGGGGAGAGGGGAGGGGAGAGGGAGAGGGGGGAGGGGGGGAGAGGGG